GCAGTGACGTCATCAAAGCATTGATAGCAATCGCGAACAAAAAGTTTGGTTTATGTTCCTCTTATCCCTGATTTCCAACTTTACAATTTTTAATTCAAATGTTTCTCGATGGCATTTAATAATTTTAATTATTTAATATTTTATAATTAAAAAATTCAGTATCTTAAAATCATAAACCAAACTTTTTGTTCGCGATTGGTATCAATGCTTTGATGACGTTACTTCGCTTGCGAACCATTGCGTCACTCACACTGAATTCTATATATCTGGAATGCTGTCTGCCATTGAAAGTCACGAGCCGAGAGAGAGGGCTGAATCCCACATTCCCCTCTTTGTCGGTACAGGTCCATTAGAAAATATTTAACAGTATGTAAACATGACATAACACAGTTAACAGTAAACTTTTGGAACGTATTGTACTACGCCTGCGCAGTTTAGCAAGAGAAGGAGAGGGATACAAGAATCAGTGGTCACTCACGCAACGCTAACATTCTGCCTGAACAGAATAAAAACGCAACCGGGAGAATGAGTTAGAGAAGGATAGACATATTGTTGGTCCTTCTCTAACTCATTCCTCCGGTTGCGTTAGCGATTACGATTCCGGTTGCGTTTCTATTCGGCTCAGGCGTTTAGGAACCTATTGGAGAAAGGCCTTAATGTGATGGGAGCGGTTGATTCGTGTAAATTACTACGTTGCGGAAAGAGAAAGTTATGTACTTAAAGGTGCTTTTATACCTTCGGTATATTGGTCAAGTGATCGGATGGGTTGAATTTTCATGGTCGTATCACATAATTTTATTAGCTGCACTAAAGTTTCCATTTTCACAGTTTTAATCTTTAGAAAACAGTAAAATGGAATTTATTGTACTTCAATCATATTCAGCGATACGACCGTTAAAATTCAATCCAAGAGTTTGCTTGACCAAAATACTGGAGGTATAAAAGCACCTTAAAGATCTTTTCTCTCTATCTCTCTCAACTCGGAGTCTCGGACGCAAGTGATGGAGCATTTACACCTTTGGTAAAAAAAAATTTCACTTTCATCTTCCAAAATGCAAAAATTAAATTGGTTGTCCATTATCTACCAGATTGTGAACAACTAATCAGGTTTGTGTATTTCGGAAAATGCAAAGTAAAAAAATTTTTTACCAAAGGTGTAAATGCTTCTTCTTCTTCTTCTTCTTCTTAAATGACTTGAGGCTTAGCCAACTGTCAGAACAATAAACTTAGAAGACGAAAAAGTTCTAGAATACACTATATGCTACACTGTTGGTAATACAGGTTAGACAACAGCAAAGTAAATCCAGCTTATTGGAAATTGAGATTGAATCAAATATATTGTTCGCTTGGAAACGGACAAGTCGAGTACAAGGAAAATGACTTTGCCATACGTTGAATCTATTCATGAATCATAATAAACTCCCATGAGAAGAATACATGTGAGAATTGAATTCAAAGCGTATAGGCCATACATTGATATATATAATTGATCTCAATAGCAATTTCTAAGTTTCAATCGGAAAAAATAACACAATGGTTGCTTAAAGTAAGACTACCGCAGTCAGGCTCCCTCTGGGCAAAGCAATGAGACAAACTCAAGTTGAGAGAGAAACATCAATTGTACTTGTAGCGCGGGAAAATGTCAACACCGGGTTTCAAACACTTTAAATATACTTAAACCTTGAACAAGGGGTATACAGTTAAGATATTAAACTGTCGAAGACCACAACACTACAAGGTGACACCACAAATATACAAAAGATGTTTACATAGATCTACAAAGCATTGTAAACCGCAGAGGTCACAGCACAATAACAGTGAGTCGTCTCAAACTCAGATAAGACCAGAAAAATTTATGAAAGAACACGCGGATCAGAATGAAGTAATAAAATAGATTCTCAGGATGACACAAAAATTTTAGATATTTCACAAAAGGTTACGATGAGCGAGGGTAGAAGTCACACTCGCTTATAGAACAAAACTCAGAACTGATCAGGATTAGAACAAACTTCGAAGAACACATCAGAGAGCACGTGGTAGAACGAACGTTTTAATAAAAAGGTTATATAGTTGCTTTCAGAAGCAGAACAAATCATAAGTATTTACTACACAGAACTTGACTAAGATGAACTAAAACTTGTTTGAAAAAAATAATAGGTAGAACAAAATCGATTAAAAATGCATGGAGTGCCGGAACATATTCCGTCCGGTCACTACCGCTGCCAAGTTAGAACTCCTCAGGTGTAAATGCTCCATGATGGTTTCGTTTAACTTGTGGCATGAACTAACAAACTTGCCATAAGTTGGACAAACTCCGTGCCACTTGCGTCCGAGGCGCTTGTGAACCATGCAGGCTTCCGTATTATACACTCGAGATTTTCTACATACCCATATCTGTCATTGTCACCATAAGTCATAATTCTCGTCAACTACCGCGCCCTGATCCAGTAAAAATTTAGTAACTTTTACTTTTAACAATAAAGTCACTAAATTTTAATTGGAGCAGGGTGCGGAAGTTGACAAGAATTATGACAAATGGCGAGTGGGGACAATGGAAACCAGTCAAATACATGAAAATCATATTTGCTAGAGATTTAGACATATATCACTATCCCTTTCACTCTCATTATTTTCTGCTTTAGGGCGTCGTCCCAAGGTAGCGTTTTGTAACCAAACCATGAATGTAAACACAGCAAACATATATCATCTCTTTTAAAACCAAAAAAAAAATTATTTTCAGTTAGAAAACCTTAACTTTTAGACGGTAGACTTAGGATGCAGTTCCGTGACGGCGCGAATGCAGAATGCAAAGCAAAATACCACGAGTACAGAAGATATAGAAGGATATTGCTATCCTTTTCACTCTCATGATTTTCTGCTTTGCATTTGCGCCGTCATGGGACTGAGGCCTAAAATTCCCGTATATCGAACACACATAAATCAGATTTCCGCTTGTATAGAATATTTTTTTCGGTCTCTTGGATTATTATATATAACTAAAGGTGCCGTCCTATGACAGCGTAAAATTCCTGCGGAAAGCATGAGAACGAAAGAGATGAAGATATCTCACTATCTCTTTCGTTCTCATGCTTTCCGCTTTTACACCAGCATTTCACGCCATAGAGATATAATAATAGAGTGCGCAAGCCTATACAATTTCTATTTGACGCTACATCAAACCAATAGAAGAAGACAGATGCAACTAGTAGGCCCTGCTTTCCTTCGTGTCTTACTAACACTGAAGCATTGGGATCTGAAATACTGCGATACGCCATCTGGTGAGAGCCTTGTTGTGGTGGCCAAGTTTTCATTCCGTGTTTCTCTAACATGTACAAAAGAAAGAGATAAAAAACCAAGATGGTTGTCACAAGAAGGCTCAGGGGTGGGTCAGTTTCGCGTGATTTCTGATCCCAATTAATGAAACAAGGATATAAGAAGGGCATACAAATCGCATATGTCTCTTTCTGACTATCGCATATAATCTGTCGCTTTTTCGGGCCTCTTGCGCACTTTATTCTTATATCTCTATGTTTCACGCTGTCATGGGACGACGCCTTAGGCTTGTTCTACAATGGGCTCGATGCAAGGCAAACGCAGCGTAAACACGACGCATCCCCATTAAGTTGGTTCTACAATAAGCGCGTCGGACGTGTACGTGAACGTGTACCTAATGAGAGAGAGGGGTACGGAGATATACATCTATACCCCTCTCTCTCATTAGGTACACGTCCACGTCCGACGCGCTTATTGTAGAACCAACTTTAGATTAGGCCGCTTCCAGAATGGAGACGCAAACGCATCCAAATGATAATTCGAATGGGGATGCGTTTGCGTCTCCATTATGGAAGCGGCCTTAGGTCCATTCCACAATAGCTAAACGCAAAGTTAAAGCGCACGCAAAGATGACGCGCGCGTTGGTTTGGTTGGTTAGAACCAACGCGCGCGTCATCTTTGCGTGCGCTTTAACTTTGCGTTTAGCTATTGTGGAATGGACCTTAGCATTGGTATGCGTCGCGTCTACGCTGCGTTTGTCTTGCGTCGGGCCCATTGTGGAACTAACCTTAAGTACGTTTCAGAATTAATGGATACTTGTGAAGCATACTTAACCATCTTTGTCTTGCGCATTTGTTTACATGCATTGAATAATGATGACTAAGGCCGTTTCCGAATTGAGTATTTTAGCACCTACTTAATAATGGGGAAGGGAAGTAGGAAGTATGCAGTGTCCTTGTTTTTCCGTGCGAAAAAAAGACATTGCATACTTCAAGAGTATACACTTTATCCAGTTTGCGCTAAAAATCCAAATTTGGAAACAGCCTAAGTTTTCGACTCGGATATATCGAATTCCCACCTATATAAGATAATTTTTCTGGTCCCTTAGAATTTGGTATACGTGGGTTTTACTGTATTTGCAATAAATAAAATAATTATTACTACTATTATTTACATTTTCAAACAGTAAGACATTTTTTTTTCATAAAAATCCATCAATTCAAACTTAATAACAACAAAAAATAATTACATAAAAACAAAATAAACATAGGACTTCAAGTCTCAGGCCTCAGTCCCATGACGGCACGAATGCAGAATACAAAGTAGAAAATCATGAGAGTGAAAAGGATAGCGATATCTTTCCATCCCTTCTGCACTCATGGTTTTCTGCTTTGCATACTGCATTCGCACCGTCATGGGACTGCACCCTCAGGATGGAGTTACATGTTGATGTAAATACAGAATGCAAAACCGAAAATAATGAGAGTGAAAAGGACAGGGATATATCACTATCTGCTTTTCGTCGACATGGACGGCGCGGCGCCTTCATTCTGCTTTGGCCTATACCTAATGCATGTAAGTGAAACAGAGATAAGCAGTCATCACTATCTCTTTCACTCATAAGGTTTCGACTTTTCGTTAACCCAACACTTTCTCGCCAACATGGTTGGGTCAATACAAATCCAGACCGTTGTAGAGCGACCTTTAAATCCCTACGCGTCACTGAGGAGTGTGTAGATCCCTGGTGCTATACCACTACCCCACATTAGTATTTCCAAGTATAATTTTAGTGGTTGAACAGAATACTAGAAACTTTCGTTGATATCCTATTTGTAAATTGCTGTGATATTTAAACGAAATTTTTCTAAGAAAGTTCTGCCAATTTTTTTCAATCAACTATATTGGAATTCATCATCTATTTGAGAAAGGTACACATTTTACATAAAAATCTTGATATATTATTACTTTTTAAGAAATCTAATATTTTTAGGAAAGTATATATTGCTGTAAATTTCCAAAAATATTGGGTGTAGATTGTTTCATATTTAATATAATAATAATAACTTCACTTAATATGCAATAAGAGAATCTAATTGGATTGGCTAACGTATGTCGACTACACACACGAACGGACACAAATACATAGATAATAAGATCTGAAATTTTTGTTCGCGTTACTGCTTCGCTAACAAATTTGGTTAGAAATTGAATAAAAATGTGACTTCAATTTGTCTCTTTTATTTTGATATCGTTTACTGTCCAATTACTATTAATTCTTGAAAATTGCTTAATTAAAATGTTAGACTTGAATTTAGTAATTGAGGCTCTGGATCTTAAAAGAGCCTATGCTCGAATTTACATATCACAAGTTTTGGCTTCTGGAATCAACTGATAAAATTTGATATTGAATAACTAAAATTTTAACGCCAGGAACCAAAATTCGAGCATAGGTCCTTTTAAGAACTGGAGCCTCAATTGCTGTCCCTATCGCAGCACCTGAATTTTCAGCAATATTACCATAATATTCTAATGTTGTAGAAATATTGGCAACATTGCTGCAATTTTAGATGCTGTGGAAAGAAAAAGACAGGATAATTCTGTTTTTTTCTAATGTATTATTGAATAATTTGTTCGCGAACATAAAGCATGAGATAGAAAAGGATAGAACCTTTTTTCCTTTTCTTTCTCATTATTCACGTTCATGAATGAATTATTCCAGTAATCTGGAATAGAAAGTAAATAAAAAAGCTAATTCCAATTTAATTCGGAAAATTCCCTCTTTCTTTTTTAAATTCAATTTGAAAAAAGAGCAAAAAGAATCGTTTCCATGTTCTCTTACTAAAAGTCTGTGAATGTCTAACCAATTAACCAAGAAGTAAATTTTCTTAAACATTCTTTTGAAATCAAACTAAAAATTATTAAATTGGATTCAAAAAATCTAAATCTATTTTTTAACTGAAAATTAATTTCACTTTTTTGCTTATGGCATTGAAAAAAAATTTAATTATAATTATTAAATTTAAGGATATTGAAAACCAGAGAGAATTTTCCACATTAAATATAATAAATTTAAAAAATTTAGAGAATATGAGATAATTGTAACTCTTTTAAGGTAGTATTATACTTTTCAAGCAGTAAAAAACGGTTTAAAAAAAAAAAAATTCTCGCTTCTTACTTTATTTAAAGGAAGGAAAATTTTTTCACAACATTAAAGCCTATTAAAGTTTCAAGAAAAAATAAACAAAAATTTTTTTATTGAGTCGGTTTGGTCACCAGAGGGCACTGAAGTCAAGGTCAAAAAAAATTTAGGCAGTCGTCGGACAGACTACAGCATTTTAGAGACATCGGATTTGAAAAAATAAAAAACTGTTTTGAAACTAAAAAATGTAGTTAAGCATCTCCCCTAACCCCGATAAAAAATATTAAAAATAAGAAAATAGCAGCGACTTAAAAAAAAGGTTTTAAAAAGGGGCTTTTTGGATAGTTTTTGGACTGCAGCTAAAAACTCGAGTTATGCTGTCCGACAGTTTCAAAAATATCGTTTTGAGAAAAACGCATTTAAACATTTAACTCCTAAATGTACAAATTTTTGTCAAAGTTTGATACTGTATTTTAGAACTTAAACTTTATCATAAAATAGTAGTCAGATGATTTTGAACACAAAAATTTAAAAAACAATCGACTTTTTGGTCGGTATAAAGTGTAATACTACCTTAATTCAAACCTTCTACCCGGGATTATTCGTTTGCCCTAAACCGTGAGTTAGGGATATTTAAAATAAACCTAAAAAATAAAATAATTTGTTATAGGTAAACGATCCAATCACTATTAAGTCAGCTGGAGATGATTTCAATGTCCGCTTGAGGAAATGATCGTCAAACGTAAAATTTTACAATCAAGCGCAGTAATTTTACTTAACTTCTAGTGCTACGTATTAAATTTGTATCGCTGAAGATAAAATAATGTTAATTAATATTGAGTTTTTTAATTACAAACCAATTTTTTTTTATACAAACAATATTTTTAATAAAAAAATTGAATTATTTATAGAATATACCATTAATAAAAATAATTACTGAGAATAGTTACTGGCACAATTACTCCAGTAATTTTTGCGCCATACATTTGTTAAAAATGTACTTATTGTTTGACGATCATTTCTTTAAGGGGAAAAACTTGTGTAAATGCACGTTCTTTCAAGATTTTTTTATAAAAAAGTGGTAAAGTTTATTGAATTAAAATAATCATACCTTAAAGTGTACAATATAAGCTATGTATAATAATCTCAACTGATCTCAAAAAGTAGTGTTTTAAATATTGCCTTGAAGACATTATGTATTCGAAAATAACTATTGCACAAAACCAAGATTTACTATCACTTGCTTATGGTGCTTACTAATGACAATTAATAAAATTATATTGACAAGAAACCGAAAGAATAAAGAGACCTCGTGCTCATCGTTAACTGCATTTGGTAACATTTGAAGTGCTAAACTAATGTATACTATAGACATTCCTACATCTAATTATAGATTTGTAATAAAGGATCATATTCTACAAATAGTAAACTAATTTTTAAAGCAAAAAAAAAAAATTGTAAAAAAATTTAATTTTTTTAAAAAAATGTTTATTGTGCAATCTTGCAGTAACCTTACACTGCAATCTTTCGGTAAGCTTACCATGTAAGCTTTCGGTCAGGTGAGACATTTGAAGCTTGCCGCAAGATTGTTGCAAGCTTACGTGCTATCTCTGTTATGTTTAACATAACTGTTAATGAAAATTTGAGTTATTTTTCGACTTACGTGATAAACATGTTGGTCATATCTGCAGAAGTGTTTATGCAACATTGCAATAGTTTAAGCTTTAAGTCTAATTTCTCGAAAACCTTTTTCCAAATAATTTAAATTTTCAAACTAAATAAAATGAACATATTTATTTTATTGTCAAAATAAAAAACCAATGTTACTATAGCAACTAAGAAAAATGTTTTGTAACGACTGTCAGGATTGTTTTTATTCTGAATTTTTGTATATATTTTACACTGTTTTATTTCAATTTATTAATGTGGCTGAATTACGTTTATTAGCACATTACATTGTTTTAAAATATTTATTTTTTTACTTATTTGTTTCAATCATGCATTACATTTTTTTGAAAACTTTATTTTTATATTTTTTACATTTTACATACACATTTTACTTCGAAATTCTATATTTTTGTATTTACATTTCTTACTTTGTTCGAGAAGTTATATTTTTAAATACATAGGCGTTATAACGCTGAAGTTACCAACGTTGATTTGACGAATCAACGATCGAATTTTTCGTTTTCAGATTAATTTAAAGGCCAAAAAGCAATTTTTTTTATTGAAACTTCTTTATTTTGGTCTCAAATAGATCCTCAAACACTTAAAATCCCCAACCAAAGCGAGGAAATATTTAATCTTAGGAAAAAAAAATTATTTACGTCGAATACTATTATTATTTATTGGTAACTTCAGTGTCATTAGGCATTCGGGAAATTAGACATTCGGTAAATAATATTTTTACGACTAGGCCTTTCGGGAAATTGGATTTGGAAATTTGACCGGAAACGATTTTTTTTATTTATTTATATTTTTTCTATTCTATTCTATAATTTTTCATAGAAAAATCCACTTTTTCTTTTTTTGTATTCTAAAGCATTTTAAAAATATTGTCATGAAATTTTAATATAAAATTCGAAAAAAATAAAAAAATTATTTAACGGAATGTAGGCGGAAAGTTTTTAAGAGCGTTACTTTGGCGTCACCTCGTGACCTCGCACTTTTGTCGTTAAAAAAAGAAATAAAAGAATCTTTTTTCAAAGATTAAAATATAAATAATAAAATGTAAAATTTTTTATTCTTTATAACGAAGTTTTGACCAATAAATACTTTTTTATATAAGCCGTTTTTTTACTGCTTTATACAAACTGTAAACACGTTTTTCTCAAAACAATATTATTGTAACTGGAAATGAAAATTCTGAGTTTTAAGATTTTTATTAAATGCTAAATGGAAATTAAGTTGAAAGAATATTTATTAAATAAAAATTTACAAAAATAGAATTGAATTAATAAAAAAACTATTGTTAATTCAATTTTATAAAACTAATTTTGTAAAAGTAAAACAGCCAATATTTTTATTTGTGTACACTGTGAATCACAGTATGAAACTTAATCTGATAGTAAGAATATATTTTTTTATCATTTTCATTTGAAATTTATTTAAAATAGATAAAAATTCAATAAAAATTGAAGTTCTATAGTAATTATAATTGCTTTTGATAAAATTTAAGAGACTTTTTGCAGGATGGTCCACTCATGACTACACTCCCCTAAATATAAAATATTTTTAAAATTAAATCACTCAATTTATTTGTAACTAACGAAATATTCCTCGCTTGGTTGAAGTTGTACTTTTTATTATTTACTTATTTTACTTTATTTATATCTATATTTAATTTATGTTTTAAATTAATATTTTATTAATATTGTATAAAAATGATCTGGATTTTAATCATTTTTATTGAAGGATGAAATGACAATTGTTATATTTAAAAAAAATTCACATTATTGGAAATTTGATAACTTAATATAATAGAATATGTTTAAGTTTGAAATCATCAATGATACAATTTTTGAATTGAAAACAATTGATTTGAATGACATTTAAAATTAAGTACAATATTATAGATTCCTAATAAAAAATTTGCAAAACAGCAATAAATTGCAAAAGATAATTAAAAAATTTCTAAAAAAATATTTTTTTTATTAAAAATCTGAAAATAAAAATTTTGGATTTAAAGAAAACTTGTTTTGAGTAATTTTACAGGTATACACTCTAAATCTGAATCAGTGAAAATTTCACTGAATTCAAATCAGTCAAAAACGACTGATTCTCAGTGAAATTCCACTGGTGAATTAAAGAGAACTGAGCCATTGATTTGAATTTAGTGAAATTTTCACTGATTCAGATTTAGAGTGTATATTCAAAAATTCGAAAAAATTGCAAAATAAACCTTTTTTTAAAATTAAAATAAAAAAAACATGTTGAAACGGTAAAATATGTAAGATTTTCTTAAAGCATATTATAAATGATTTTGATTTATTTGAAAATAAGTGTAAATAAATCTTTTGGTGTCGGTGTCGCTATTGGAAATTTGTTAACTTAATATAATAGAAGATATTTGAATAAACAATTAAAAAAAAATATCGAACGCTACGTCTATACGACCGTCTAGCCGGATAAAGTAATTTTGTCCGTCTATGAGAGATTCTTTTTCAATCGCCCCAGCCCAAAAAGTCAATGTTCTGGGATTGGCTTCATACTTTGGTAAATTGTTGTCCTATATGATAGTAATAAATCCCTAAAATATAAACTCATTAAAAAAATATTTGTAGAAAGTAGAGGGGGTTGAAGTTTTGACGTTAAGGGTAACATTGTCATTTTCAAATCCGTATAACTATGACAAAAGTTAATGGATTTTAATTTATCTATAATGAATGAATATTATGTTTCTCATAAAATTATTGTTGTCCCACTTTCATATTTACATAGCTAATGGGAAAAAACCTCAGCTTTCCAATGAAAATAAAAAAAAATACCCGAAGGGGTGAAAATCGAAAAATAAGGGTTGATTTTGAAAAAAAGGGGTGAAATTTTTTTTTTTTAATTTCGTATACATTTTTGAAAAGTACGTGAAAAATTCATTAAAATTCATTATAGATAAATTAAAATCCATTAACTTTTGTCATAGTTATACGGATTTGAAAATGATAATGTTACCCTTAACGTCAAAACTTCAACCCCCTCTACTTTTTACAAATATTTTTTTAATGCGTTTATATTTTAGGGATTTATTACTATCATATCGGACAACAATTTACCAAAGTATGAAGCCAATCCCAGAACATTCACTTTTTGGGCTGGGGCGATTGAAAAAGAATCTCTCCTATATGGAATTATATTGAATATTTTAAGGAAACCTTGGAGGGGGGGGGGGTCGGAAATGTCCGAAAGTATTCTACGGACAAAGTCAGGTGGCTATATAGACGGACGTTTAGACGTTTTTTGATGTCCGTCTAGACGGACGTCTAAACACTTTGAATATCGAAACGAAATGAAAATTATACTTTCGTGAGGGTTTCTTGCTTTTTACAAAATTTGACTATTTTCAAAATATATAATTTATTTAGTTTTATTCATTTTATGAAATCATATTTTATAATTATCTATTTTCCACCAAATGAGACACATCTGAACATAGCTGGGTGTCAAACACCCAATTGTGCCCTTTATATAATTTTTCCGAAGTGTGACCTTAAAGAGTTAAAGGATGAGGATTCTAAACAGTTCTTAATTACAGTAAAAGCTATAATACTTGGTTCAATTCAGAGAGTCAAAATTAAATAAATAGTTACTATTTAAAAATTAGAGAAATAAAATATTAAACAAGTAAAAACATTATTATTATTTATTTATTTCAGATACAAACTATGAACACTCATTTGCTGTTTCATCTCAAGACTCATGAAAAACCAATTACCTTACAACATTGATAAATAAAAGAAAATTAATTTAAAATGAACTAATAGAAGTATAAAAATTGTTCCTTGCAAAAATGTCTGTATTTAAAAGTGTCGAGGGACTAACAGCTAAAAATCAAGCACTACTTCATTCTGCCGCAAAAAGTGGCGATACAACATTATTGCAACATTTATTGGAAAAAGGTGTTTCCGTACATACACAATGTCCAAAAGGTTTCACACCACTTCATTATGCCGTCATGTCAAAAAATACAACAAACATTGAACTTCTTCTAAAAAAGGGAGCTTCAATTTATTTTCCCGATCAACAAGGTAAAACAGCACTCGATTTAGCTGTCGATAATTATTCATCAGCAAATTGTGAATTAACTCCAAAAAGTGCAATACTAATACTTCTCTTGAGTTACACATTACTCGATGAGGAAACAACGTCAACATTCACATTTTTAGCTGTCGAAAAAAATGATGAGGAATTATTGAAATTTTTTTTAAAAAAAGATCCCGCGACACGTATACATTCGACATTTCAAGATAATCGTTCATTACTACACGTTGCCGCCGAATCAAATCATCCAGGATTAATAAAAGTTCTACTTGAACACGGCGCGGATATTAATGCGAAAACATTTAGCGGTGAAACAGCACTCCATTTAGCGGCAGCTGCTGGTAATGTTGAGGTGGCGAAAAAATTAATATACAGTGGCTTAGCAGTTGATTGCATTGATAATAATGGAAGTATTCCACTTCATTACGCGATAAGAAATAATCGAAGAAGTATAATTTTACTATTAACAAATTTACCAAAATCACTAATTAATCGATTGAATAGCTCTTCGTTAAATCCAACATTACTTCATTATGCGGTGATAAAAAATGATGAGGAATTTTTTAATTTAGCATTAAAAAATAGTAGTGTTGACTTAAATGCAAAGACAAAAGATGGAGAAACGCCATTGCATTTTGCAATTATTTACAATCGTTTGAAATTAATTTACGAACTCGTTAAACGTGGCGCTGATGTTAATGCTCAATCGACAAATGGCGAGACGCCGTTACATTTTGCTGCTGCATTAGGACAAGCACATTCCGTTGAATTTTTATTGAGAAAAGCAGCTGATGTCAATAGTTTCACAACGTCTGGATCGACACCTCTACATTATGCATTGGACAGAGACAGATGCAACGACATTGTTGGCGGATACAATAGACCACTTTCATTGTTAGATGATTTAAAACCAAGGTACACGATTGTTAAAACACTTCTTAATAATCAAGCGGTTGCCAATTTTCGCGATCATTCTGGTAAAACTCCCTTACACTATGCAATGGCAATGAATGTGAATTCAAAAAATAATATCAAACATCGAATAGACACGATTCGATGTCTCGTGATTCATGGTGCAGACGTGAACGCTCTTTGTAACAAAAATTGTACGCCGTTATTTTTTGGTTTCGATGCAATGGATGAAAAGTTATTATGGTGGCTTATAAGACGCGGTGCAAACGTAACGAATAATCATACAAACGTTGATTCATTTCTTTCAAAAGCAATAAAATTCAAAAATTTAAAAATGATTGACGTCCTCTTGGAAGCGGGTGTTAAAGTAACGTCGCGTAATATTTTTGAAGCATCATTTTCCAATGAAATTGATAAGGGTAATTATTTTGAAATTCTTGAATTATTAACAAATCGTACCAATGATGTTAAATCGGTGATAACAAAATTAAGTCAATTTCTTGATTCTGAATGGCAATTGAAAATAAATGATAGAGAAGATATTATGAATAAATTATCGGCTATTTTAATACGCAGGGAATTAAATGGTGAAATAATAATAAAACAAGATGATTTTGAATTAGATAAAATATCGGAGAGAAATGTACGTAATCGTTTAGCGATATGTCGGGAACAAATTTTTAAAATGAAAAAAATTAACATCAATCAAGATGGTTTAACATTGTATAAAGTTTTTATGGCATCGATTAATCAACTTTCGCACTATGTACAAAATCAGGATTTAAAAAGTTATTTACATAGCGATAGTTTTACCCTTAATTTTTCACATTGTTGGAATTTAATGCAGAGTCGTTATAAAAAAGCGCGTATTAAGAAAATTTTACTTGATTTTAGCGCTGATTCTTTATTAAATTTAGTTAATAAAGCGCATAAAATTCAATTGCCACTTTCAACGAGTAATCAAATTGTACAGTATTTAAGTATGGTTGATTTAACACATCTAATGCAATTTAGATGTTCTCAAAGTCCAACGACAAAAATAATTATTAAAAATTAAAATTATTTTTTTTCCATCGCAAAGAGGATTTGAAATTTTGGGAATAATTTTATTTTTGATAATAATAAAAAATTAAAAGCTTCCCCTGTGGTTTACAATTTAGAAACTTTAAATTAATCATGTTTGCGAGTTGTTGATGAAACTCTGCCTTAATTTATTTATTTTCTTTATTTATTCTTATAAAGGGTTTACATCATTTTTGAGGGTCTATTTTTATATAGCTTTATTAAGGAAAAATACTCAGAAGAGGGGAAAAATTAAGTTTTTTTTTCAATTGAAAATGAAGAAACTTTTGCATAATATTAAGCAAGATCATAATGGCTTTTAATACAAAATTTTAATTTTAAATACACGAAAAAAAGGAGAAGAGAATGAGCAACAGTGGGTCGTTTTAATTTTCTGGAAATTGATTAAAAAAGAACTAATAAATATTTTTGTATTTTGTACGTTCAAGGATGCTTTCTATTTATTTACAAAAAAAAGGTGTCCGCACATAATTCACGAAAGTACTGTAATTTTACAATTATTGTTCTCTATATATCGAAATTTATTTCAGTTAAAAAATTCTTAAAAAATATTTATTAAAAAATGGATAACGAATGAAAATTTCTCTACGTGGAAGCAAAATATTTTCTACAAACTGTACATTAATTTCGAATGTAAAAAAAATTGACTTAGTAATTTCTAAATAAAATAATGGCATGATTTATTTAAAACCCATTGTGTACATACATATGTATAAATAATTAAAAAGTAACCATATATATTCAAACAAAGTATAATTATTCAGATTATTTAGATTTCGAAACGTTGAAAAAAATACAAATATATTTAAAAATATATTTTGTCCGAATGTCTTCGTTTTATTTCTCCTTTAATAATTCTTCAAAAAAGTGTTTTATTATAAAAATTGATATATATTTTTTAAAGTAGATCATTGTATTTATATAAGAAAAAAGCATGTTTTTAAATTATTTAAAATTAATTTAAAAAATTATATAAAATAACGAAGTAAAATAAAATTTAATTATGCGCAACTTTGTTTATAATGTTCTATTTCAAAAATAGTTTTGATACATTTTTTGAAATTATTATTTTTATAAAATAAATTTCAAATCTATATGAAACTATTATTATTATTATTAATTCCTGAAGGCGAAGTAATGTACATATATAATTAAAATATTTCATATTGTGAGAAGAAAAACATTTTTGAAATAAATTGTAAATATATAATAATGTTAAAATTGTTTAAATAAATTATGTGTGTACAGTAAAAAGAATAAATGGGACTTTCAAATAAAGTCAATTTATTAAGAAAAAAAAGTGTTTATTATTATAGAATATTTTCCTAAGAATACACATTCTCCTACTGAAAATTCCCATATGGGATCTTATATGGGATTTCATATAAATTGTACATATTGTAATGAATCCAACGTGAAAAAGTAACTTTAGTGTTTACAAACAAAAGCCTAAAGCCATACTTTAATTTATAAAATTGAATATTATTTTTAAAATGAAAATTAAAGAGCCAAATCGTCATGGGGAAGCCTGTCATTTACGAAACAAAAAATAAATATTTTTAGCAATATACAATAATAAAAGTCATTATTGCTAACATGTCCAAGTCTGTAGAATTCAGAAAAAAAAATTTTTTAATTCTTTTTCTCCATGTTAATTCTTATCTCCAGCTTTGTGCGTTATGAGAAAGCCTTTTAATAAAACTGAATTATTTCATAAAAATCAAAACAAAACTTAGTTATACTTTAGCAGTAGCAATAATTAACTACTCCAAGTAGATTAATTACGGCAGAAACTAATTCTACAATTGATTTTTTTTTGTTCTAACACATTTAAAACGCCAATTTTATATAGGGAATCACAAAATCGCGATGGTGAAGCCTTTTTTTATTAAAACGCGTGTGTTATTCACTGTGAATAAAATTATGAACAATTTTTCCGGCTCACTACGGATATTTTATTCTTGAACACTATCCCTGAAGATTATAATTTAATTTTTGTTAAATTGTAAAAAAAAATTTAATAATAGCAATAAATAAATTTTACGCTACGCGGAGAATCACCCAAATCTGTATTTCGGACAAATGAAAATTTCGGCGTCTTAAAAATTCGTGCAAATTAAAATTTGGTGAATTGGAATTTTTCATTTAAAAATTCGATTGAAAGAGAATTCTCTGTAAACTTTTCTTAAGCAGTTTCTGCGTGAAAATGTTTTATCTAAAAATTTTTACACTCTAAATTTCTCTTTTATGATTAGTAATCTATTCAGGAAGATCTATTGTACTCATTTACGATTTGATAATTCTGAAAATAATTATTGACATCTGAGAAATTTGACATTTAAGAGATAAAAGTTTGCGTCTCATCAAAGTGAGTATACCTTATTACTTATCACTGATAAAAGATAAAGAATTGGTATAAAGTAATATATCATTCTCACGTAAGCATTTTCGAAATATTCAATTTATAATTATACTATTTTTTTGCAATTGTGTTATTTAATTAGTTTGTAATAGATGCATAATAGTCATGAGAGAAAACAAAACTTATCAGATTAATTTGTGTTTTATACCAATTCTTATTTTCATATTGTTACCTACCACATTTATCATTACGTAAGTCATTTCAAAATTTTATTACAACCAAATAATATCTTTATATATTGTATTTTTGTACAAATTTAATTATGTTTTTAAGAAATAATTTGGTTTGGAAATATGTACACTTCTACAGTATATCTAAAATTGCAGCAATATTTTGTCAACAGTTCTAAATAAAATCTAAAACTAAATTAACAATAATAATAATGTAACTATTTTTGTAGATCAATAATTGCTATAAACAATGATCATGTAGATGGATTTCCATATATTTCGGATACAGGCACTTATGTTCCTGAAAGCTGTATTTTCGGACAATGTCTTAATATTATTTCAGCTCTCAGTAAGCATTAAATCAAAATGTTTTCAAAATTTTACAAAGAACCCATTAAAATTTTGTATTGTTCTCCTACACAAAAGAAAATTTTAATTTGTCTAAAAAAGTGGAAATAATTTATTAATTTTTTTTCATTACAGTGTGTTTCTTAGCTGTTTTGAGATATTATCAAATCAAGGAGTACACTATATTGTATAATTTCAGTGGAGCATTGTTAAAATGGAACATTTACGGTATTATTTTTGGCATAGCTTCTAGTTTAGGTATGTCTTTAGTTGCCAATTTTCAAGAGACTAATTTTCTTAGTGTTCATATAATTGGAGCTATGTTATGCTTTGGAGGAGCTACAATTTATTTTTGGATACAAGTGAGTTTTTTTAGAATTTATTTTTTTCACTATACATATATTTAAAATTATTATTGTTATATAAATGAATTTTTCAAAAATACATAACAAATAAACTTGATAAAATTAGCACGCATGAATATTCCTCCACACTGAATTTATTGCAATTTCTAGGGTTTCGAAATTAATAAGCTCCAATTTCTATGTTAACGAATTTTATAAAGTAAAATTTATACTGAATACTGTTTCTTCGGTCATTTGCAATTTCGGTCAAATGGAAATTTAGCGTTTTCAAAATTCTATCAAATAATTTAAAAATTCGTATCACTTAAAATTCAGTTGAATGAGAATTATGTTAAATTAAATTTCGATTAAATTAGAATAATTTTAAATAAAAATTTTACCAAATAAAACTATGGTATCTAAAAATTCGATTAAGTAAAAATTTGTTTAAAAAGAAATTCTTTCAAATGTAAATTCGAAAAATAAAAATTCATCTAAAAAATGATGATATTTAATAAAAAAAAATTTTTAAATGAAAATTTTAATTAATGATTTTTTATGGGATAACCATGCGTAATATTTCGGACGATATTTTTGAAAAATATTTTGAAAATTGAAAATTTTTTTATAATTACAATTTGGAGTATGAAGCTTATTTTTTTCATAATTTTAGACAATTTGTACCTATTACTTAGTACCAATGGCGTGTTCCTTGAGGCTAGTATTTATTAGACTAGTGATAGCATTCTTTTGTACTGTTTTTTTCATCTCAGGAACGGTAACAGCAAGTTTGTCAAAAAAATCTTATCAAGGTAACATATATTGACGATAATTTTTCAATATAAATTATAATATATAAAATTGCATTATTTAATAGAAATAAGAATTCTCTGTCTTGTTAAACGAAAAATATATTTTATATTTTTTATAAAATAAGTAATACAGATTTTTAAAAGATTAAAATTTGAAAAATAAGTTGCCACAAAAAAATAATTATATATTGAAAAAGATAACATGTTAAAATATATTTTATTTTTTTCCCCATAAATAATTATTATTTAGGTAATAATCCTCGAAAATGGAAAAAAGAAGATGGTGGATGGGAATTGCACGTTATTAGTGTAAGTTCTGAATGGATTGCGGCTTTAATTATGGCTCTTTACATCTTAACATTTGCCAAAGATCTCAATAATTTTCGACTTCATCCTAAAAAGGTGAATGATAATTTTTTGTTATTATTATTATTAATAATATTAATTTTTCACAAACATTGCAGTTTAAAAAAATTTTCTTTATTTTACTCTAAAAAGCTGAGCAACAATTTTTCGAAACTTTTATTATAAAAATTTCATGAGTAAATAATAATTTGTTTGTTTAATTAATTTTTATCACTAAATTAATCAATGCATTTCTAACGCTTTCCGAGAACAATGCCATTGTCTTGCTGTCAATCACTTATTCTAAATTGAATATTGTAATTTATTCAAATCTTTAATAATTCATAAACTAATAAAGTTGCAATAAAATCAATTTTACAATAATATTATTAATAATTTTTTACTTTAATAAGCACTAAAATTATTATATAAATTTAAAAAAAAAATTATATTTTATTACTCAAGTAATTTTTATTAACTCGTATAATTAAGTGTTAATTTTTTTAATGCAATAATTTTAGATCATTTTTCATCCACCATGCAGACAAAAAAATGAAATACCTTACGAATCACAAGAAATCAACGTAGTGAATTTCACCATCGTTAAATAATATTTTGAAATAACGTTTTGTAATATCAACATTTTTTTTTTATTATGAATCAAATTTATTGTATAACTTTTGTTATGAAAAGCAACACTCAATTTTATAGTTTTATAATAGTAATCTGTTGAAGCAATAATTTTTTCAAAAAAAAAGAAAATATAAATAGTAAATTTAAAAATATATATATATATGTAATATATTGTATTCCTTTTTTATGAAATAATAAAACATTTCTCATAATTTTTTTACTTTTCATTTCAAGCCTGTGTCATTCTATCCGACATTTAAGCATGTCTCGTCTTTTGATATCTCTGCATTTAGACAGTAATCCAAGATCAACGACGTGTACGTTTATTATCCCTTTCTTTGTTATTGTTACATTATTGTTTTGAAAATTTATTAAGAGAAAGGACCAGAGAAATTGTAATCAATCAAAATTTACATTCATTTTTTCCCTGATATTAAGTACTTAGGGGACGCATGAATTTCCCATAAAAATCATTAATTAGAATTTTTATTTTAAAGTATTTTATTAGAAATAATTATTTTTTTGACGAATTTTCAATTTTCGAATTAAAATTTAATAGAGTTTCTTTTCATACCAATTTTTACTTAAAATTTTTTAGCTACCGAATTTTTATTTTACAGTCATTTTCTTTACATGATTTTTAATTTAACAGAATTCTCATTCAATATAATTTTATGTGATTTGAATTTTAATTTGTCCTAATTTTTAATTGATATAATTTTTAAGACGCCGAATTTTCATTTATCCGAAATTACAAATGAACGAACAAAAAATCGACAGAAAGATTACAGCGCAATTTTTAAAATTGACAATGCAGAGGATTTCAAAGTACGTATTATCACTTTTAAAATAAAAAATAATTATTGATTTTGGTTTAACCGTTTGATCTTGATCTTGAAGCAAAATAAAAAAAAATTCGTTAGAAAATCTCTTTTAGGAGCTTTTCACCGTGTTGATAAATTTAATCCTCCGAGTGGTTAAAGGTAGTAGATATATTCTGCGTTTAACCTCTCGGAAGATTAAATTTATCCACACGGTGAAAACGGACTCTAAGGTACTTCATTATAAGTATACTGGAACTCCCGAAGATGAGAATGGAAAAGACTTGGTTCTCACCTTCTCCGTTTTGACGATCAAATATTGTAAACACTCAGGGTCGTACGGAGTATAATAATGTGGTATTGGAATTTGTTGTATTTATGTACATAGAAATTGATAAATTTTGTGTTCTGATTATAATTAATATTTCTGGTTTCTCAAATTTGTTAATAATTGACTTTTCTTTTAACATTACTCTAAAATAAGTACTGCAACTAATGTTGTATTTTTTTAAAATCTCCTCTCTTTCAACCCTTTTTTATGTCTTTTAAAATTTCTGCCTTTACTTCTATGTTTAAGAAATTATTATACTCATTTTCGTGATTACTGAAACGGGAATCTCTGGAACACTAAAATCGAACGCTCCTGTTTTCAGAGTTAAAAATTAAATTAAAAAATTAATTTTAAATCATATTTATATTTCAATAAAAAAACGGCAAAAATTGACAAACATTTGCATACTTACAATAACAAACCGCATAAAATACTAATTTATCTCCATCACACTTTTTTTTAATATAAGTTCATTCACATGATCAATTATCACACAACACTTAATTACAAAATCAGAAACCAAAAGAACTTAAAAAATGCTTCGTAGTTCCATGAGGCTGAGCATAAAAAGACTCATTTTTTATTATAAGATGTAAAATTTTTCAATCTTTTCATTTTACATTATTTAACCAAGTGAAATATTTTACTTTTATATCTATTTATTGTAAAATAATATAATACAATCAAATTCACTTTTGTTAGTCTTTAACTAGTAAAAGTTAAAAAAAAAGTCTACTAAATGCAATCAATGATATAGTAATATATATATTATAAATCTGTAATAATTGAAAATATTTGACTCCCAAAAAAGTGAACTTTACTGTATAAATTTTGTTTAAATTTGGTTCTAAAAGATTGGAATGTTCTTTTTTTAATATATATTGAAATATCGTTTCTGATAAAACAAAAAAATCTTATTATTTATTTATCTTTTCGTTGTACAGTAAGACTGTCGTGTATTGTTTTTACAACTGCTTCAATTGTTTCTGGAATAATGACACCATTAATATCAATGAAATTTGCTACCGATCTTTCAGTAGAACTTTTATATGTATTGTTGCCACTTTTTGCGCATAGCACAAGATTATATTTGTCATTATATTTTTTCATATAAGAACTCGCTTCCCAAGTCACATCAGGATCAAATCCCGCAGGATCTCTGAATGAATATTAAGAAAAATTTTAATTTTCATTATTGATGTCATTAATATTGCGAGTCGTTTAATAAAGTTTTTTTGTTTCCTATAAATTATTATAATTATTGACATAATTACCTTTGAATAGCGACAACGAATATTCCTTTTTCCTTATACGTTATATAGAGAGTGAGAATTCCCATTAAAACAAAATACATGGAAACGCAAGCTACTAAAACTGGCTTAGACGTTGGGAATGGATAGAAAAAGTCCCATAATAATGCTACAATAGCAACACTAACTGCGAGACCACATAATGCTAATCTTCCATCCATTAGTGCAAAATTTTCTACATAATTGTATTTTTTAATAAGTACATCTTTTACTGCGTCGTCAAGGGCATTTTTTACTGCCGATCCATCCCATTTGTCGATTTTAATTTCCTGCAATTCAAAATTTCAAAATTTTTTTAAAAATTCCGAAATTATTGAAAAAATCATTTGCTTACGATCGGACTTGACTTAAAATTTTCGCAAATAGTCCAATCAAAATAGTAAAAAAAAAAAAACAAGGCACATCATGTTTTAACTCAGGACCACAATTTTTTTTACTTAAACCCTTAATTTTGGGGTGCAAACAACCAGTTTTTTGCAAATTGCAGCCATTCATGATATTTTAGCATAAAAATAGTTATTATAAAAAAGAAAGTGTATAAAATTGTGAGTAATTTGATAAAAAAAATGAATCCTGTAGCTCAAAAATTGTCCGAGATATTGCTTCCGCAAAAAACTCATTTTTTTCGTGATTATAGACAAAATCCGGTATTTTTCAGTTTTTCAAATATTACTTTGAAACTAATAATTTTTTGAAAAAATGACCAACAGGAAAGTTAAACCTGTCAGAAATTTAGTCAGCTTCAACTTTCCTGTTGGTCATTTTTTCAAAAAATTATTAGTTTCAAAGTAATATTTGAAAAACTGAAAAATACCGGATTTTGTCTATAATCATGAAAAAAATGAGTTTTTTGCGGAAGCAATATCTCGGGCAATTTTTGAGCTACAGGATTCATTTTTTTATCAAATAACTCACAATTTTATACACTTTCTTTTTTATGATAACTATTTTTATGCTAAAATGTCATGGAAAGCGTCAATTTGCAAAAAACTGATGTTTCGCACTTATTTCTTAAACAAATTTTAGGTTCCGGTAGAAGTTTAGGTACTTTATTTTTACTGCTTTTATTTGCTTGGTTTAAGCAAAAAAAATTGAGGTCTGGAGTTAAAACATCTAAAAATGCTAACTTGACTGGATTAAAAAGAATGTAGTTTTTTTTAATTTTGAACAAAATCGATCAGTACATCAATTGAAAAAAATGACTTTATATCTTAAAAACTTAAAAATTTGATAGTAATATCAGTTGAAAGAAATTTTGGATTTTTTTCTCTAGTTATGAGCATTCAAAAATAAAGTAATTAAAATTCTGAAAAATTCATATCTCGAAAACGGCTTGCTAAAAAAATTTGAAAAAATCCATGAAAGCTGGTCTCAATAAGTACTAAAAGAAAAAAAAATTTCAAAAAATCGGAGATGTAATTGCAGATGGACTTGGAATTTGGCGAATTTTCATATACATAATTTTGTATAAATTCGAATAAAAAAAATATAAATTTCAAATATTGAAAAAACAAATTTAATTTTTAAAAAATCTAATCTTAAGTACGAGATAAAAACACTTAAAAATTTCTAAATTATATTTAAAATAATATATTTTGGAAAATTCAACGGAAAATTATATTCACATTATTTTTTAAGCCTACTTAACTAACATACGTTTCGTTGTTATTTTTATTTTACACAAATTACCCTAAATTTTGATATATATGATAAAAATTCATTAAAATATGTTACAATATTGTTTTCATTTATGATGTTTTCAATAATACAAAAGAAATGACAGTTTATTATAATAGAAATGAATGTAAATATGTATGTATTTATATCCTAACCCTACTTTTAAATATTATTTTGAAAATGCTGTTAGCAAATAAATGGAATAGAATATAATTGAAAATTTCACTAACCGGCTTTTTATTATCCACTGATTCTTTTCCGCCTGCCATTTTAGTACAATACTTGAAAAAATGTGTAATTCACAATAGTACATGCGAGACACGTCAAAGCTTTTTCAGTTCATCCACATTTCATTTGTCACCAGGGTTGGAAACTATTTTCTAAACGACAACGACGACGTGTCGTCGAAACCTCCTACGACCGCTTCTGCAATGGATTGGTATTGAAACTGAAGGTCTTTCTACAATATATTGAAATAATCGATCACGCTCTAAATTAGAATGTTCGAAATCGAAAAAGAACCCTTTTTAACGAATCTAGTTTAAAAGTGATAAAAATACCGAAAATATAAAAAGTGCCGAAACTAAAATGTGAACAATACCCCGACATTAAACATTTCGGACGTTCCACTTTGCTACGTTCGTAACAAACAATTCAATTCGTCATTTCCGAACCCTGCTTTACAATCTTTTTGTTCCTATATGAACTTGAATTTATATACTTGTGGAAAATTGTCAAAATTTTATATTCCACAGTCCATCTATGCAATATAATTTGGTGATTAGATTCATTGATGTTGTGACGTGTAATAAATTTTTAACTAAAAAAAAAGAAGTTAATTTCATCGTGAATCAATATAGTGTAGATAAAGAAACCCTAGTAACTAATAGTTTAGGTATGTATTCGATACAATTTATTTGTTTAGTTATTTTTTTCATATAAATATAAACAACAAATACATTATTTCGAGGTTAGGTCCGATAGTTTAAAGTAGGTAAAAAAATGAAGAAATTTTAAAGAACTTTATATTTCTTTTTTAAAAGACACACTATATTTATATTTTTTTTTAAATGAAATGGACTTTAAAATACAAATATCAAAAATATGTAGAATTTAATTTAATTATTTCTTCGACAAAAAAAGGGGAAAATGAACTGTTCTCATTTTCTCAATTTTGTTGACTTTTTTCTATTTTAATTATCATTTTATCAACTATTTTATCATGTATAGAATAATTTTCAAAATATAAAGATTACAGTGAAAATACTTATTGTCAAAGATAAGTGATTAAAAGCTTTTAATTTTGTAATTTTTCATGACGTAGCATTATTTAGTTCACTAAGTGTATGTATATATATGTATATATTTTTTCTATTTTCTTGATAATTTATTCATCGATAATTGTTTAATTACCTTTTCCAATTCTATTAATTTACAAATACTTTTTTTAAATTACTAATTTCATATTAAAAATTAATAATGTTTAAATAGTTTCATAGGTTATTTTGTGGATTAGTCACGTAAGTTTAGTGAAATTATTATGCTTTGAAAATAGTCAATTTATTTTTCAAAAAAATAAAATAAAAATAATAATACTGTACTAAAAAAAAATATTAAATACTTATTTATATTAATATTTTAAAGTGCCATCATTTGGTACTAATATTCAATATTAGTAATGTTAATATTCGAATTTTAATAGTCAAATTAAATTAATAAATGAATTATAAAAATTAAGTTTAATACTTAATAAAATAATAAACAATTATTTATTCTTATTATTATTAAACAATAAGTTAATAAAATTGATAATATTAATAATAATAATCATATTAACAAAAAAATAAATAAGCAAGTAAATAATAATTAAATTAAATAATACAATAATTATAAAAAAAACGATTCTTAAATCTATTTGCAAATCTATTATTAATTTTTTTTTGCAAAACATATGTTAAAAATTGGTTGGAGTAATTTTTTTCAACTTATTTTAATTAAGTTGTTATTTTACTTATTTATTATTATTTTATTGTTTTTTTTTAAAAAAGAAAACGTATCAATCAATGTTAAGTACACAACCTACTTTGTCAGGGTCAAATGCTTAATCGCATTTCTCATACATTTGTTTAATATTTCCTAATGTCATATTAATCATATATATGGGATTGCAACTTTTACCTTTGTTAACAGTGTTTTAATGAATCCTGTAATTTAAAAAAAAGAATATTGTTCAAGAATTTAATTTTCTAAGTGCTATTTATTTTATAATGTAAAGAAAACTCGTGATAAACATTTTGTTTTCTTGAAAAGTACTTTTTTTCAGAAGTGTATATTTTTATTATATTATTTTTACATTACTAATTAATTCATATTTTATTTATATATTTATAATAAACATTTTAATTTTTTGCCATTTAAATTTTGAAAAATATAGTTACAGAAAAAAAAGATATATACTGTTATTTTGAAATAAAAAAAAAAATTTGAGTATGATTGTGAAAAATTCAGAAAAATAATTTTCTATATTATTTTTATTGTTTCAGATTTTTATTTTAAGAAATCTCCTACAATGATGTACGATGAAGATTTGGACGGTTCATCTGGAAGGAATGTGATTAGTCAAAAAATGTTTCGAATGTCACAGGTTGATTATTCTTTTTTATTGGCTTTTAAACAGTGTGACAGGGCCTCTATCGACTCTTAAAAACTTTGAAATCATGAATTTTAAAAATTTAACCTTCAATTATTAAAATTTTTCCAAAATTATTATATTTTGAGATATTATAATGAACTTAGTCCAAGACAAATGAATAAAATTCAAATTTATGCATAAATATGGAATTTAGACAGAGATCTAAAAATAATAATAATAAAATGGAAGATAAAGAAGAAGATAGTGAAATATCGAAGACTCTCTCAGATTACATAAATAAAGATGGGGAAGAATTATTAGAACAAACAATTAAAAATACAAAAAAAGTCTAAAATTAAAAAGAAACAAAAAAAATTTGGGGTTTTATGGATATTTTTGATGAAACTCAAATAAAAATAACAGATTACGAAGGAGATGAATATGAATCAAGTGATGAAGATAGAGAATTGTTAAATAAAACTGAAAGATTTTGATGATTTCATGCACGAATTAGGGAGTGGGAGTTAAAAAAAATAAAAAAAGGTTTAGTTACTGTAGCATCTCAACAAAAAGAAAATTTTAATAATTACACAAGAGAAAGATCTAAAATTAAAGAAAAAATTGAACAAAATAAACGAGAAATAGAAGAATTAATGATTATCTGAATTTCAATTTATCAAAATTTTAATTGATTTATGTTTCAATTTTACCAAATTTTAATCTAAACAAATTTTTAATTCATCCAAGTTTCAATTTATTCTATATTTTCATTTAAATTTTAAATGATCTAATTTTCAATTTTTTTAAAATAGTTAAATTATCGAAGAAATTGATAAAAATTTGCGATGAATTTTAGTTCAATTTTTTTTAATTATTTGGATATAATAGAAATAATGCAATTCTGAAAGAATTACAATTGTAATTTAAACATTATTTTAATTTTAAAATATTTTAAATTAATAATTTTTCAAGTAATTCAGTTTTTGAAAAATTTATTCATAATTTTAAGTTAAAATTAAATTTTTTTTATTAAAAATTAAAATTTGACTTAAAAAGTGATTTTTCTTAATGATTTTCAAAAAATTTGTTAAAGTTGTCAATGATAAATGAAAGGTTTTTTTAAAAATGTTTTTACTTAAATGTTGTGTTTTGTGGCGCTAAAATGTTACTCAAAACTTTCAAGATGATTTCAGGGTTTATATTATCTATTTGTAAAAAATATTAAACAAAACAAATAAAATGATAAGGAAGTGGGTTATATTTATAGAATTACCGCTCTAAATTTTATGTACACATATAACTATAAAGAAGTGTGAATTCTACTATTTCAACGTCAAAAAAACATTCTTTACATGATTTTTTATTTAAAAGAATTGTAATTTAAGTAATTTTTAATTTAACAGAATTCTCATCAATCGAATTTTATATGATTTGAATTTTTAAATGACAAATTCCAATTCATCGAATTTTCATTTGTCCGAAATTACATATGACCAAACAAACAATCGACAGAAAGATTTCGGCATATGTAATTTTTAAAATTGCGCCGAAATCTTTCTGTCGATTGATCGGCCATTTGTAATTTCGGACAAATAAAAATTTGATGAATTGGGATTTCTCTAATTTATAAATTCGAGTCACATAAAATTTGATTGAATGCAATGAGAATTCTTTTAAATAAAAAGTCATGTATAGAAAATGACTATAAAATAGATATTCTGCCAAACAAAAATTCGGTAGCTAAAAATTTGGTTAAGTAAAAATTCGTATAAAAAGAAAATCTGTGAAATGCTAATATGTGCGCCTCATTAGCATAATTATTTGATATGGAATTCAACATATTTTTTAATATATGATAATAATTATTATTATTACAGTTTTATCAAAGTTGGCTAGACCGTTGTGCTCCACATGTTATATGGAGATGGGTTTTCGCAGTAGCTTTAATAATAATATTTCTAATTCGCATTCTTGTGGTACAGGTGAGATACATAAATAAAATTTTCTTCAAATTTTAAAGATAGAAAGGCAAGAACAAAAAAAATAATACTTTTTTAATTACAGGGATGGTATATAATCACATATGGTCTGGGCATTTATCATCTTAACTTATTTATTGCATTTCTTACACCAAAAATAGATCCAGCAATGGATTTCGACGGTAAGTAATTTTATACTTTGTTAATTAATCTTTTAATATTTTTTCTTTAAAAATTGTGTTTTTGGGGGTGTTCAATACATTTTTAAAAAATAACGCTAATTTTTTTTCATTATTGCAATAATAAAAAAAAATATACGTAATTTCAAAAAAATTGTTCTCGCTAAAGTAATTGCTGTTCTATTACGAAATTTACGGGAGTTATTGTTAACATCAAATACTATAATTATAAAAAAATATTTTTTTATCGAGTTTTAAAAAAAAAAATTAATTCAAGAATATTTTTTCATCAGACATTTTTTTTTAAATATATTACATTTTATTCTGTGTAATTAAAAAAAAATGTTGAGTCCCATTAGATAACAAGAAAAAAGATACATGTATTTAAAAAAAAAAATTATCAAAATCTTGATTCAGAGAAAATTTAAAGTATTTTGAAAATTTTGAAAAAAGACTTGTGAGCTTTTATTCTACACTTATTAAATAGAACATATCTAGAGAGTGTTACCTTAAAAATCTACAAAAAGGGTAAGAAAATTCAAATTCAAAATTTTGAATTTGAATTTTCTTACCCTTATTGTAGGTTTGATTGGCTTGAGAGCGTATAGTCGAACATAGCGCGAGTTATTATATCCAGGTGCTCATATGTCTACAAAAATAATATATTTTTAATTTATAAATTTGAAAACTTGGAAAATAATTTTTATTTAAATATAAATTAAATATTAATTATAGACTCAGATGGACCAGAATTACCAACAAAATCCAATGAGGAATTTAGGCCATTTATACGACGGTTACCAGAATTTAAATTTTGGCATGCAGTAACAATTTCTACAATTAGTGCAACTATACTAACCTTCTTCGATATGTTCAATATTCCAGTATTTTGGCCTATTCTTGTTATGTATTTTATTACTCTTTTCTGCATTACCATGAAACGACAAATTAAGGTAAGATATTATTTAATTATATATTTTTTGAAATTTAGTATTTAAAAAAACTATAATATATTAAATTATTTAATATTACTTTAAATTTTTGAAAAAAATTTTCAATTAAAACTCCATTTATTTCTATATTTTTATTTTATTTATTTCTATTTTTTATCCATTTCGGTTTTGTTTTTCGATTAACGGTTTCGGATGACATCCCTGCTATATTAATAATAATTAAAAACAAAAATTTTACCAAATATTTTTTTTAATTTAATAATTTATTTTTTAATTTACAAATACTGTCCTTGAATAAAAAAAAAGTTTGACTAATTGCAAAAAAAAAGTATTCAGTTTTATTCATAAATCCACTCCGTAGTTAATATGGATTAAGAAATTTTACAATAATTTGAAAATGTCTCACTACGTGTCTTATATTTTGAATTTAGAAATGGAAATGAATGTACAAACTTTCGTAATTAGCTTTTGAACTTTTAGAAAGTTCGAGGGAAGATATAGTGATAATGAAATTTTTGAAAAGGTGGGTGAATTTGTTACAGAAAAAAGAGACTGTAATAAAATAAAGGATTATTATTAATAATAAAAATAAATAGTTTTTCTTCAAGTTCGGAAAACTGATAGGATAGAATAGAATAGGATTTGAAGAAAAATCTCCTAACCCTAATTTAATAAATTTTTTTAGCCAATTTGTAACAATAAAGAAATAATTCAATTTTAAGAATTGCAAAAAATTAAGAAAAAACATGTAAATATCTCCGGAGTTTTATAAAATTTTTGATCTATTTTTAGTCAAACTTTTTTTTTGTTTTAGACACAATGAGTTTAATGTATAATTTTTACATATTTTTAAATATGACATTTTATTTTTTAAAGTGGAATAAGGATTCTAAAAGGAATCTATTTAAAAAAACAACTGTTCTTATATATTACATATATATATATTTTTCTTTTCTTATATTTTTTTTATAGAAAACGTTTATTTAAAAATTTTTTCACATACTTTTTTTAAATATAATATACATTAAAACATTCTGAAACTATTATTATAATATATATATATATATATTTATAGATTTTTGTCGGTTCATAATAATAAAATAATCTGGAAATAAATAGATTTATACTTATTTCACATAAATATTTATCGTAAAAGTGTAACAAAATTATTTTTACATTTTTCCTTTGTTATTTTTGTTTCAAAACTGTTATGTATATATTTTTTACTTGTTTATAATTAAGTTACTAATTAAAAATAAATGATTTATTTAAAAAATATATATGTTTTTTTGGAAATAATTTGGATTGAGAAAATAATTGTTGTTCTTTTTTTTCTCTTTTTTCTTACAGCACATGTTGAAATATCGATACTTGCCGTTCACACATGGGAAACCACGATATCAAAATCACGAAGACACAACTAGGTTGATGAAATGAGATGTTTGATTTGTGTGAGCATATTAGGTTTATTATTATATTTCAAATTTCAATGTGTAAATGTGCGAAGACTTCTATTGAAAAAAAAATTTTTGTCCCATTAGTAATTTTTTTTATATATATATATAGAATGAATCAGTGTATGAAAGTAAATATGTGAAAATGGAAGAAAATGTTAAGTATGTATGAGATTAAAAAAGCAAATGAATAATTCTTTATAAATGGAATGAGACAATTTTTTGAATCTTGTGTAAAATTGAATTGTCTTAATATATTTGTATAATAAAACTTGTACAAAGTATTGTTAGGTTTGACACTTTGAAAAAAAATGTGGACATGATAACAATATTGCATCATGATTAACTTTGTTCGATTATCATTTAAAAATAATGAAGATGCAGTTTTTTTCGTATTTAATAATCGACATTTAGAAAATGGACTATTCTCATTCTTATACTAAAAAAAATCTGCCATTTGTTTTCAGTTAGATTCTGTTTTTTTCCCAAGAAAAATAGAATATTTTCTTTACATATATATACTATAGGAAAATGTCATTTTTTCTTTTTAAGAAAAAAGATTTACGATTTTAGAAAAAAGCCTTTTATTCAATTTTAGAAAAAAGCTTTTTATTCGATTTTAGAAAAGAAAAAAAAATTCGCATCTTTTAGCTGTTGTTGATCATTTAACAATGACAGAAAAAAATGTTTTCTTAACAAATAAGACTTAAGAAAATATCTTGTAGAATTTTTTTTTTTTTTTTTTTTTTGATTTTATACATTAAGAATATTCTACTTGTTTTTAAAGCTAATATTATGTGACTTTAGGGTGGGGTAAAAAAATTAAAAATTTGATTTTTTTTTAATTTTACCATCAATTTTGTTTTGTGTCAAAAAAATATATTTTTTTTTTATTTATAAAAATTCCGTTGGGTCCGAAAAAAATTAACATTGATTTCCACTGAGAAATTTTTTTTATTTTTTGTTATTATTTTTTTCATTTCTCTATTTATTTATATTTAAATAATATTTTTATTTGAACTGTATAAATCAAATATAAATTTATTTATTTACTATTTTATACAAAAAAATAATTTGCTATTCAATTATCAAAAATTTCCCATTTTTTTATATGCAAATTATATTTCTTTAAAAAAAAATTTTCAAAGAATGAAAATTTTTGCTTTAATTATGAAATAAATTAATTTTTTTTATAGAAAAGGAAAAAAATTCCAGAAAAAAATACGAAATTCAATATTAATTTTCGCTGATTCTACGGCATGGATTAATACTGATTAAAAAAAATACGTTTTCATATTTTTTAACATTAATTTTCAAAAAATACGTACCTTATATTTTTTTTGACAAAACAAATTTTTGGGATACATGAATAAGTTCTAAAAGTCAATTGTTAGAATTTTCATTAAAAGGAATTTTATTTTTTTGATTTATTATTTTGCAGAATTTTCATTAAACTGATTTTCTATAGTACAGAATTTTTATATAACCGAAAATTTTCTTCACAGAATTTTTATTTAACATAATAGCCATTTAAATGAATTTTTATTAGGTAGAATTTAATTGCATAGAATTTTCTTTTAGATGAATTTTCATTTTTTCGAATTGTCATTTGATAGAATTTCCATATAACCGATGTTTCATATCACAGAATTTATATCAAACTGAAAAATCATTTAACTGAATTTTTAATTGATAGAATTTTCATTTGTCCGAAATTGCAAATGACCGAACAATCAATCGACAGAAAGATTTCGGCGCGATTTTTAAAAGTAACCAATCACAATTTTATGAATAATTTTTGATTGCTTAATTTTAAAATTCACGCCTAAAATTTTTTGTCGATTGTTCGGTCATTTGCAATTTCGGACAAATGAAAAATTCTACCAATTACAAAATAATTTTAAATGATTTTTCGGTTAAGTATAAATTCTCTAATATAAAAAAACCAATTTAATGAAAATCATACAAAATAATAATTCAAATAAATAAAATTCTGCTCAATGAAAATTATATTCAATGAAATTCTATTAAAAGAAAATTCTAAAAATTGATTTTTAGAACATTCATGCGTCTCAAATATTTAAGGGATTAAGATTAAGAAAATGTTAATTTTTACTTTTTTTGACCCACTTTAAATATTGTGATTTGCTTTTTTCAATAATAAAGATGGTTCGATAAACGTCAATGACATCGAGATATGTTGTCGCCTGAGCCCTTTATTTGGGGGGGGGGGGGTAGGAGGTAATAAATGTGTGAGTCTTCAGAATAATAATTTCGAAGCAGGGCTTTGAATATGTATATATATTCTCATACATTAATTATGTGTGTGTACAAAAAAAAGGAATGAAAACTTTACTCCTCAGTGATGATTTTGCTGGACTTATCGAGAAATGCAGTCGTTGAATTTGTTCCAATTACTGTAGTCGTTGTCGTTTCGCTCACTGTCGATTCCCTTTTTCTATACGGATCTGTTGGCTGACAATACAGCCTGAAACAAATCCTTTTTCAATTTATAAAACACGAAAAACATTTGTTAAGCCATCGCAGTGATTTTATCGTTTTAAAAAGAAAAGTCTTAATTTTTTGTTTTTAAAAAAAGTATTTTTTTTCTTGCTTCATTTAGTCATTAAAATAGTGAGACTAATACTTTAAGTTTTAGTTACTAAAAATACAATAAATAAAAACTAAAAATGTAGAATTAATATTTCGTTTTAAGAATATAAAAATGAAATCTAAAATTATTATGTAAGAAAAAATTGAAACTTTCTAAACATTTTTTTTAAAACGACTCACTTTCCTTCGATGGCTTCAATGGGAAATTTTTTTTTTCATTTGTTAAGGTTTATTGAAAAGTTGTAAACGAAATATTTAATATGGCCCTCGTGCAATTATATTCGGCAGAACTTGTATAATATAAAATTCACTGTAAAACGGTTTGACCAAAAAAAAAAAACAACAAAAAAACAAAAAGAAAAGAAAGATTGAAAAAAAGAAAGAATAATGTTCTGTACAATTTTTTTGTAGATCTGTTGTAAATGATTTTACTATAATCTTTATAATATATATATAGAAATTCATGCGAATTTGAAAATAATTTTACAGCAATTTAATAAAAAATTGTTATAAGTCCACAAATCCAATAAATTTTTATGACTTCATCTAAAAAGACAGACTTTGTTTTTCATTTGAGTTGCTTTCTCTGTAAAATATAAACTTAAACATTTACAATATTGTAATTTTAATTTAAAGGAAATAATAATAATAATAATAATAATAATAATAATAATAATCTACTGTGGATCAGGAACTTAAGATACAAAATTAAAATTAATAACAGATACAATATGGATTTTTTATTTATTTATTTAATAATGGACTGGACAATCTATATAAACAATTTTTTTTCGTCTTGTATTGAAACTTTTGTCAGAATATTTTAAAATTTTATTGCTGACAAAAAAAATTTTTGTGAGTAGAAAAAATATTTGGAAAAAATAGTTGAAAAAAAAGTTTTAATTTGTTTTTGTAGTAGTTTTGAAAATTAAAAGTTTTGAAATTTTAATAAAATGGATTTTGCAAATGAAATTTTTATAAAAAGTTCGTTTTGATCCACATTAGATTCCGGAAATTAAATTAAATTAATTAAAATATCAATATGCGTCAATATTTCGTAAAATTCTTTATTTCCAGTGAATCGAATTTTCAGGACTCGGATTTTTTAGTCGATATACATTTCAAGAAAAGTCGAAAAAGTTGATTTTTTATTTTTAACAAATTTAATTAGTTAATAAATTTTTTATTTCAAATAACTTTTTTTGGTTTTTTTTGGTTTCATGAATTTATTTTTACTTTCAATTTACAAATTGTACGTCTAATAAAATTGAGCGCGACATTTAAATTTTCCACGTATAAATCAATTATCTACTTTACCTACAGTTCATAGATTGGAAACTCGATGTATAAAATTTCTACAAGCAAAATTCGATTTAACAAAAGTTCGAGCAAATGGAGATCATTTTGATGAAATAAAAGTTCTGCCGTTTAAAAATTCGGCTAAATATTTTAAAAAATTTTTAATTTTTCACTTACAAAAATGCAGATAAAAAATCGATCCATTGGAAATTAATTGATTTTAAGATAATTAAATGTCTCAGCTTTTCTTTATTATTTCGAATAAATTTATTTACTTTCTTTATTTTATTATAATAATAATTATTATTTATTTACCTTCAGTTTTTGAGAAACCATAACCCGCGGAACCAACTGTGGATCAAAATCCTGAATTTAAAAACTATTAAATGATAATTTTTTGCATTTGATTTTTTTTTGTACTTTCACTAACGGTTTTTTAATATTTTTTATTATTTTAAGAATTTACCTGTAATATTTAGCAAAATAAATTGATTTTAAATTATCTAATACATTAATTATTATTGTTGAAATAAAATACTTTTGTCTGCTCTTAAAAACCTGATCCACAATAATACGGTGTCTCTTACCCCTCTTTAATATGCGCGTAATTTTTTTTATGTATTAGCCTTTTTTAAAAAATAAAAAAGAGTAGAGGAAATTGAGCACAATAGGATATTCCCATGAGGACTACGACCGTGGCAGCTTTTCTCATACCTTATACTTTCAGTTCTCGAACGGGGTGACCAGTTATTGTAATACCTTCGATCTGTTCCGAGGTTGCGAGCAGTACTCCATCTGGCAAAATGATGTCGAACAGTATTCTGCACTTCAGTATTGAGAAAGCAATAAAATAACGCCACTGACAAACCCTGAAATATCATTTTTATCAAAATTATAAACTTTCAATATTCCAAAAGATAGGAAACATGTTTCTTAAAATTATATTACCTATCTCATGAAATTTTTTTTATCATTTTATGATTTGGGAATTAAACCAATGGGAAATTCTGACCAAAGATATAACCGGTGCAATGGTGACTAAACAATATCCACAATATAAATTATTATTATTATATTTATATAGATATATATTCCAGACGTTGTGAGGGTCAAAATTTTTTATATTTTTTTGTTACTAAAAGTGATGAAGTTACCTGAGAAGATAAAAGAAAAGCTCTTGCGAATGTGAAGATATTAGCAACATGTCCTTCCTCCGGACCTGCCAGCACCAGAACATAAGTTACACCAAGAAGCGGTATTAGCACCAAAAGAGCTTTACTAGCCTTGCGATATTGCTGCGTTTCCACATTATTTGCAGACCTTAGTTTCGTTATTAAAACCTAAAAAAAGATTAAAAATATACTCTAAATGAAGCTTTTATATCTGAGGCTATTGAGAAAATACACAAAGCGGTTTTTTGCTTCATAAAAATGGATAAAAATAATAAATTTTAATATTTCGTTAGCCTGATAAAAAAAACTCAAAAATATAGTAATCTCTAGGAAATGCTTTCTAAAAAAATCTTTCCAATGGAGAAATTTGTAAAAATATTCTAATAATAAATGGATATACTAAAAATTTTTTACTCTGCGCACACAGCTTAGACTTTAGACATATTGTCCATTATTTCCAAAAGAATGGCGATTTTTATTTGCAAACATAAATATAGCGCTACTCACCCACATTATCATAAAAAGAAAAATGACGTTTACGCAAAGTACGCCAATAGCAGGGGCTTGGTAAAACCAGTCGTAAGGGTGCGGTATCATCCAGGGACAATGCCTCCATAAAACAACGTCCTGTTAAGAAAAATTCGAATCAGTTGAATGAACAGAAAGCTGTTAAACGATAACAAGTTTGCTCCGCTTTAAACAATTATATCACGAACCCCTCATTTCAACCAATTATATGGAATCGATATTTATAATTTTTTTTGAACGTACAAGCTTTTAAAAACGTACGCATTAATTTCACGCTATAATTAATCATAATTTTCTATTAAATTTTTTTTCTGGAAAATATTTTGTACCTTTGTAAATAGGTATAAGTTAAATTTATGTGTTTAAACTTTTTCCAAGGGAATACTAACCACTTGACTAGGAAGGAATACTGAATGAGTACTGGAGAAACTGAACTCTTGGGTGAACTGACGACTTAATTGCTATGAAGTAAAAGGCATCACTCTTCAAGTCCATAGTAATCAAGACATTGCTTCACCCAGCAGTTTAATTAAACCTTTGTTCTGCATCAATCTCCTTCAAGCAGGATATTAACAACTAAATTTTACCATAAGGAAAATTATATTAAACCCAATAAAGCTGTACTGTAACTAACAACATACTAATCACTTTAGGAGTAATTTTTGCTTTAAATTTGTTCCTAATTGTATTTCCTCCAGCGCTCCGATCTACAAGTTCCAACCTTGACTAACATTTTTTTTCGTTTTTTTCCTAATGCCCGTGCCCCGTAACTTTTAAACTTCTAATGCAATCATTTTTCAATGCTCACAGTAATAAGATTGCATTTTGAATCATTCCAACATCTTCCCAACCATATGAGATAATACGCAACATTCGGGAATCAAATTCTTTTGGAAAAAAAATATAAACGAACGTTTTTGCAAACTTGAACTAATTACCGCATTGTTTGAGGAAATAATGAAATTAACTTACTTTTTAAGGTCATCATGATTAAAACAAAAATTCGCATAACTTTTAAAGTCACCTAATATGCCAACTAAGTTTATATAAATATTTAGAAGGAGAAAGAGGTGAAGGAACTCTTTATAGCGTGTCTTTTTCACTCTCGTTAATTCAGCCGGCAATATATAAAGCATTGCGTGTTAGTAAATCGATCGTTGAAAAATTCAGTTTACAATTGAGTTCTAACAAGTATAAATGCATACAAAAATTCCTCAAATCAATTTTTTTTCAAATCTTAAAATTTTAAAACTTCTTTTATGTCACAGAGATTAAATAATTATATTTTTATTAATTTTTCGTAAATCTAAAAGAACCTATAATCTTCTCTAACTTTTTTAATTTTTAAATGTTTATATTAAGATTATTTTAAAATTTAACAGATGTGTCGTTACTTTGTGTCAAATATTCTTTATTATTAAATGAAAGTGTATTATATCTTCTTTGCCTTCGCATCTGTGTTGATTTAGCACAGGTCTATGGTTTTAATCGTTTACTATGAATTGACTTCTTCACTCTTTCACGTTTGAACTGTCACTGACAATTTCTTATTTGGAAATCCGTGAATTAATTTAAAATAAGATATCATTTTACTAGAGAGAAAAAGTGTTGTAAATTAGAAAAAACCAAAACTATCCGTTTAAATTTGAAATTTATTTTTAAGTTTGTGCTTTCATGATAAAAAGTTTCTTTTCACTATAAGAAGGGATGTAATAAAGAAAAGATAAGAGCAGTAAATTTTTTTTTAGAAGCGGAGCAAAATCGTAATTGGCTTACGGTAAATGTTTGTTCACTGTCCATCTCACCTGATTACCCTGAGTTCCAAGACTCGGTCCTAGAGACTTGGCGATAGCCCAAACGGCCGTTACAAGAATTGGCACACCTAAAAGCACACCAGATATTAAAACACATTTCTTTTCTTCATCTATTAAAAGCCACGTATATTACCAAGATCAGGTAAATTAAAAACCAGCGCAAAATAAATGATAACATTTTGTTTACATTAAAACATTATTTTACAGGTAATTTTAGCATTCGGTACAATTTATTTTTGAACAAAAAATTAGTTCTTTATAGTTTTTAATATCATTAGTCCGGACGAAAAAACAAATTAGAGGTCAGTCCGGTATTAACATAAAATCAATCCGTAATTAATCCGCAACAATCTGTGTTTACTACCGGACAAATTTTTGATGAGAAAAATTCTGACTATAAACCGGTTGTATCAAGCAAATAAATATTCGCGTTGCAGGACAAGAAGTCCAAACCAAGAAATCCAGACCGAAAAGTCCAAGAAAAAAAGTCCAAAGAAACAAAAGTCCAGGAGTCAAAAAGTCCAAAATCAATAAATCCAAAATAAATAAAGAAAATGTCCAAAATAAAGATATGCAAATAAGTATTACAGAAATGTATATTATTATTAAATTTTACATGTGAATGTGGTGACCAATGAGTTTTATATATTCTTGTTCTTTGCTTTCATCGACATAATCCGCATACGTTTTTACAATATTAAAAATTTGTTCTTCCAGTCGCCGTTGCTTTCCCCTGGGTAAATTTTTTACTCCCTTCCCCAAAGCCAGTTCTCGAAACATATATTCCACATCAGCTTGTTCTTTTTGAAGGTCTGTTAGAAAATGATACAAACTTGGGTGATTTCGTCCTACTAATATTTGGAACCGGTTGTGCCATCCTTTCGATGCATTGTTCGTGCGAGCTGACCTCTGAAGCACAGAGTCATAATGATTCCAAAGAGTCGGGTCGTAGCGTACCTTCACAGCCTTCCTTCTTCCAATTGCTCGTATTCCACGTATATAATTTGATTCAAAATAATTTGCAATGGGAATAAAGTCTTCTTCAATCTCATTAAAAAAAGTGTCAAAAACATTCGGGATATCTTCTGCAGGAACAAAAGCCAATGCGCACATACTGTGTGCATTTTCTCTTATAGGTATAATTTTGATGTATGCACCGGTTAGAATGACAGAGGATTATAAACAACAAAAAAAAGACAACCGAATGTATAAAAGTGACAAATTCATTCCGAATGAAACTATTACAATCAATCAATCAAATATTCGTATAGGCCTCTTTGAACTTTAATTAGTTATTGTAGAGGAATTTAGACTATTTGGGATGATATTTTTATTTTATCTCGCAGTATTGCTATTCTATAATATGCTATTAACGGTTAGATTTTTGAATGATGATTGGGTTGATTGCCAATATTAATTGGCAAGGATTAATTAATATATTAATTTATCTTCCAATTTTGAATAAACGTAGTGAAGAAACAATAATTGATTTCCTGTCCTCATAAAGTAATTAATACCAGTTGAAATAAACTTTAATTGGCCGTAATTGTCATATATTTATTTTGACACTTTGTAATTTAATAAATTAGTTTTTTGAATTCAATTCACTGAAATATTAAATAAAATCCTTAATGGATTACGTTATCCCAAAGGCAAAAAATTATTATTTATTAGAAACATTTTACCCTATTTTGTTAAAGCAAATATATAGTAAAATATTTAAAAATAAAAATATGTCATAATATATATTTATTTAGTATCTTATTCACGATTTATCAAGTAGAATATAAATAACTGGGACTTCAACTTTAATTTGAAATGAAATGCCCCATAGGTATTTTGGAGCTGCTTCTTTTCTCTAGAACGTTGTCAGGTCGCATAAGTGATGCACATGTCATTTTTTATTTCAAAGAAATAAGAGAAGAATTTTTCTAAACAGTGAAATATATTGAATTCAACATAGGATGCAATTTCAACTTTGTTTACACTTCTCTGGAAGTCATTTTCTTTTGCAAGAAATTTCTATTTATTTATTATACTTTTTATTCCTCTAGGGAATTTCAAATCGTCATTTATAGGAATAACAGAGGTAAAAATGATGAACATTATTTACTTGAATCAAATAAACAACCTCCAGAATGACAGTGTGAACGTTAAAATTAATTCCCTCACAGAATAGGATATCCCTAGGATATCCAGGGTGTTTATATGATTGCGTTTCAAGATGGCGGACAACGCCTGAAAGCTTTGACATGTGTCAGCCAACTCGTCGTTTATTTTCTTTAATTTTGAGTGATTTTCAGTCTAAAATAACGTTATTTTACATTGAATTTTGGTTTTTGTAATAAATAACATAAAATTCATTGAAGTTGTTATGTTTTTCGTGATGTTATAAGAGATATATGTCAAATGACGCAATAGTGCTCTTTTGCGTCTATTATTATTATTATTAAAAAAAAAATCAATTTTTCTTAGAGATACAATTTATTGCAAATTCTTGCACAAAATACACCTAAAAGTGTAGAAAAAAATTGACATCCCGATATAAGTAGAGGAAGATCTCTTTTACCACCCTTAAGGCAACCCCTATCATAAAAAATCGTAGCTCCAAAACTAAAAAAGTTAAGAGGGGGGGGGGGGCAATTTTTTTCGAAATTTCGTGTTTTTGTACTATAACTATATTAAATTCAATTCTAATAGGATTCGCTATAATTTTCCTTTAATCTACTCACGAAAATACGTATATGTATACAAAATTTGAGCCCAATCGGTTAAAATGGCTAGATTTTAGAGGGGGGGGGCAGGATTTTGGGGACGGACTTGAATGAAACCATAAGGGTTCCGTTTCGGTTCACAGCGCGAACGGAACCCTAATAACCCTATTGTTAGGTTATTTAGCTAAAAACTATTTTTTAGCTAAGTAACCTAACAATAGGGTTAATTAATTATTTAGAATCACTTATGACAGAATAATTTACGTGAAATGAAGAATCGCGTAAATTTCTAAAAGTCAAAATGCAATATTTTTTTATTTTCTAAAAATACACAAAATATTTTCTATATTTATTAGACAAAATTATCAATGTAGCTAGATAAAATCACGTCATCAGATTTACGAAATCACGGTTAATTACACACGTATAATATGTAATTTTAGATATATATAATTATATATTAAACCTCTATTGAATGGTCCTCTATTCAATGAAATTAGCTGTGATTAGGGAGTACACGCGTGTAGAAGCGAATGTTCAAGTGACTTTACGCAATTAATAACACGATATTACTATTCCTGAAAATTTAGAAAATGCTTATTTTTAATTGAAATTTCTATATACGATCCCAGTAAGAAAAGGGTCGATTAAAATGTATTAAAATGATTAAACAAATTTCAAAAATGACATTGAATTTTTTATCTTCTCAAGGAGATAGTATGATTTTTATCCTTATCGATCCTCTCTAGATCAGCTCTCCACAGCTGATGTGGATAAAAGTAAAAGAGGAGTTTGAAATTTGGAAATAAAAGGGTATATCAGTATTATGCAGATAGTGTTAATGGCTGATAAGTGATGAGATTGATGTTCAATGAATTCCGTATAATAAGTATCTAAGAGAGAAAAAATTATCTGTGAGAGTGGATAAGACTAAACTGATGAGATTTACAAAGAGGGAAAGATTCAAAAGGAAGGGTAGAAGTTAAATCGTAACGAAGTGGAAAAATTGGATGAGTTCTGCTCCTAATGTGGAGTATTGATTTCAAATCATCGAAAAACAGAGTTTGAAAGTGGAGTTGCAAGAACGGGAAAAGTGATCGATTAGGTTTGGAGTTTTGGAATGAAAAGATTTAAAGAATATGATCAGTTCTATGTTTGTCGAAGCATGGGGATGGAAAGTGGTGAATGGAATAAAAAATATGCATGCAAGGTATTTAAGATGGACGATGAGACTAAACAAAAGGCGTCCTTGAGAGAAGAACTATAAGGAAAGCAAAAAAAAGAGCTGTTACTTTGGAGGCGGAATTAACATTGAATTGATAAAAAGAGAGGAAAAGATTGGGGGAGAGCAACACGATGGTGTTATAAAAAGAAAGGGAAGAGGGTACTGGCAGAGACGGGAATGTCAAAAGAAGTGGGAAGGAAAATTAATGACTTACTTAAAAATTAAATAATACGCAATAATGAACCTCAATGGAGTAGTGATGCTTATCGCACCGATGGCTATGGAAACTTGAAAAAAACTCGTTCGTCATCTATCACCTTGAAGAAGCGATCGAAAAGAAACCCTCTTCTCACAAGTAAAATTGTACAACGACAAAACAAGTGAGACTCAAAAATTATCGCTAAACAAAAAATTTTAACTAACATTTTCAACTGAATAAAAAATTACTTCACTTAGGAATGTTAGGAATTTAATACAAAGTATTAAAGGCAAGGTTAAAATCGATTCCGAATTGTGACATTCCGTCTGAATTTATTTATGGACCACTGAATGTGAGGGTGATGTAGCGGTTAGTGCACGGCACAATAAAAAATCCATTATCTGCATTTACGGAGTAGAAAATAACACATTTTTTACATAATTATAAACACAAGAGTGCATTATATTTCACAAAAATTTCACTGTAATCATTGTTATATTTAAATAATGTAAATTGTTTTAAAAAATGAAGAACAAACATTTTTAATACGCGTGTGGTTTGAGTTACATAAATTATTATTTTATTACAATGGATATATTGAATAAAAGTTTGGTAAATAATTATTATTTTATATTTTTTATAATTTCAGGGCACAATTTTTCACCTATAGTCTATTTATAATTATCTCATAACGCCTCAGGATAAAATTGACCGGGATATCTCCCCCCTTTTGTATTTATATTAGTCTATGTTTTTTTTATCCATTCACTTTGAATTTTACGACTTTTTCTCTCAACTTTAATTTTTGTATGCTGAAAACCTCTATGAATTGTTAGTGTAGTTATAACGTGCAGTAAAAATTGATAACAATGGTACAATTACTGTTTCATAGGATAAGAGAAAAAAAGAGGAATGAGATTTTTCCCTAGGGCGTATGCAATTTCGCCGCAGACGAAATATTACTATCGAAATGCTTTTGTACCAGATGTTTTTAAATTTATCGAGAGTCGAGGCATATGTACAAAAAAAAATGTTTCGTGCAGGTTAGGGTTTAAAAAAATTCTATTATCGTGCAAATATGTTGAGTGTTATTTATCCATATATCCAAGTATAGAAATTATTTTTAAAAAAATTAAAAATTAATTATCTATAGATTGTATATTAGTAGCATTTAACTTCCAGGCGAATAGAAATCAAAAATCACTTTAAATTACATTTTGCTACTTGTCAATTACTTTTCGCTTCAATCTTTAAACAAAACTAATAAAATTCGTTCGTAGTCTTTTTTTGTCAGTGTCGCTTGTCGGTTTGCGCAAGAGACAGTGTTAGTGGCTGTGCCGCACTAACACATGCGGCTTTATATTTGAAGCTACCAATTAAATTTCAGATATCGATTTTAAATTAACAGGCGTTTAATCCTCTACTCTGAAATCAGGTACTTCGAAAAACTGTATGTGAATTGTTAAGAAGGTTTGAAAAGGTAAAAAATCATTAATTTTTTCGTCAAATTAAATTTTTTTTACAAAGATACGTATTATTTTGTTTTATTTTTAGAAAGGTAGAGAAATAATATAATGTTCACTAAGACCGTCAAAGGGAATACTACCGTTTGCTATTAATAAATATGATTATATAAACAAAATGAACGACATGTTATCTGAAGGTGACACTTATTCAATGATAAATTACAATCCCCTTTGTGACATACAAAAAGCTACCCACACAGCTCCTAATCTTACAGTATTATTGGCAGTATTTCCTCAATATTCTGATATTGTAGCAATATTGCAGAAATGGTAAAAATATAACAAATACCAAAATGAAGAAAAGACTAGAATAATTAAGTAATTTTAATAGATTACAAACTGACTGACTTGTCCTCCAACTGACAGTATAAAATTAAACACATTCATTCAAAATAGATATTAACATATGAGGAAGAAAGACACTTAAAAAAATTGTTTTTGTCAATGAAATATATTCTATAGATTTAATAATAATTAATTACTGATTTTGTCAACAGTTCTTATGAATTTAAATCTGCGCTTGATATACAATTACAGATGAGGTGCAGTAGGAATAACGATTTGGAATTTTTTTTTGCCGCTGTTGTACAATTTTTGCAAATACTTTACAGTTAAAAAGAACTCATTCCTATCCAATATGAACTTTACCACTTTTTTGCAATTAAAAGTTTTAAAATTATGTATCACGTCTTGGTCTAATGGTTGTAGTTTGAAAGGAGTGTTCTGAGGAAGAAAGTTCCCCCTAATATGATCGAGCGGAGAAAAGTTATTGCGAATGGCGCAATTAACCATAAAAAGTATAATTTTGCATTTATGTTTTTCATGGATCTATTTAAAATCCTTATTAAAAAAATGTGGGTTCACAAAAAAACTTCAACTCAACAGGAGTTGAAATCATACTCAATTTGAAGTGCAACAAAAATGAGTCAATAGTAAGTCAGCGTTGACGAGTACAAACAAATCGTTCTGTATTCGGAAAAATTTTTATTAATCATCAAAATTGTAGTTTTAATGGTTAATGCTATTTGAAACAAATTTGCCCACGTTATTATCAAAAAAATTAAACCGATTGTTGTATAAATTAGAAAATATTTATTTAGAGGAATTTTTCAGGGTAAACCACACACTAATATCCCCTTAATGACTTCTGTAGAGTGCCTGTTAACTGCAGATACGTTAAATTAATCGCTTCTCTTCTAATGATTAATGACAGGTCTATTTAGGGGTGTAGTTCTTTGGATTTATTCTGTTATTGCAGGAGTCACTTTTGTATGTTATCGAGAAAACTACTATTTCGCACTAGGATGTGTTGAAGAAGAATTATTATAAATAATATTAGCAATATTATTCATATAGGCAAGAAGTATCAGCTTATTTTATTTTTCAATTGATGCATAAAATGGTGATGAAACATTTGAATTTTTCTTTTTCTAGAAATAAATTACTTTGTGCGACAATGCAGACTCCCCACAGTAAACATGCATCTCCGCATATGCAAATATAATGTAAATAAACGTGTTTATAGAACAATGCAGAGATAAACAATATTTTCAGTAGTGGTACATTATTATAATCTCTACGAATTATAATAAAAGAAAAGGAAATAACTAGTGTCAGTATGATTTTTAGATTTGCGTAGTGGTCAACAATATAACAAAACTTCTGAAACCACATAGTATCTTTTGATTCTTAAGACATTTTTTTATTTGAATAAAATGTATCCGTATATTGATACGGATCATTTTTCGGATTATTTTCGTAAAATTTCTGGAATAATCCGGACTGATCTGTCTATATTTAATCTAAAATCAGTCCGAAATTTTAATCAGGAAACCTAACAGCTCCACGTTTCTGCCTTTGGAATAAAAAATATCGTATAAATAACACGGATCCAAAGGCAGCCGATTGTTTACGTTGGTTGTTGCAGAGTATTTTTTTGCATAGTATGGAATAAAGTTTCAGTATACAGAAATCAACAACTTTATCCTGTATTTACATTAAATTAAAATGGTGTTTATCTTGTAAGGTGTCGCGCAAATAACATTAAATTTATATTAAAAAAGTGAATGTTTTTATTATGCGATGAGAATCAATATATTTTAAAGCAGATGGAGACAACAAAAACTCTCCTTCGTTATTAACTTCGTTACATTGCAAAGTTTTCGGAAAAAATTTTAATTTTTGTCAATATCAACAAAATTAATAAAGGATACCTACAATTACCCCCGTTAAAAGGGGGAAACAAGAAAACTCAATAAACATTCATCATAGATGACAATTTACATTTGAAAATCATAACGCACCAGTGTTCTCTCAATAACTCTATTTAGAACTGTTGTTTATACACTTTGTGTTTTAGTTTGTAACATCCAAAAACTAACTTGTCAAATTCGAAATTATACAAAATGTTACATTGAATCGGCGCTTAAATTGTAAATTTCAAATTCTACATTTCGGTAAGACGATTTGGTTATTAAAATTAAGGAAATTACTTTCGATAGGTTACGTTAAATTTTCATTAAAAATTTTAATATCATTTTTTAAAAATTTTCAAACGAAAATTCTAACTTTAATTTTCCTTCTGTTTCATAACGCAAAAAAAAATAATAAATTTTATTTTCTTTCGTTTGGAAGACATGATTTGGAGAAGAATTGTACAAATCTACAGCAATCTCCTTTTATGTGTTTAAATATAGGTATCATTTTTTTTTATGTCAGACTAAAAATTCTCTCGTTTATCACTTTATCCACCTATTCTATATATATGTTCATTACTTCCCTATATCCTTCTCATTTAAAAGACATACATTTTTTATTTTCTCTTGCAAAATAGTGCTTTGTGAATTTAAAAATAAAATAAATTTAATTGATTACAGGAGCGGAATTTTATTTGAAAAATACGTTTAATTATTTTAAATTTTTACTTTAAAAACAATATTTAGTGAGTTTAGTAATGTAGCAAAGAAAATACTCTCATTTACGGTCAAGATATGCTATGGATATCTTTTTTTGTTGAGAAGGAAGATTTTCAAAAGCTACACATGGTATAAAAAGTTGAAAGAGCAAAAGTTTTCCCCCTTCAAAAGTTGAATACTAAAGTTAAGTAAAAAGGTCTCTTGGTGCTTTTTCTACGTTGCAGATTAGAAGTTTCTGAATTATTATAACGATAACATTAACAAACTCAATAACACTTGTGTTACATCATAAGCTAATACACATTATTTTTTTTTAATTTTTGTTTCTTTCTAATTGAATTTAAAAGGAAAATCATCTGAAAACAACATTCACCAAAACTATGTTTCATTTTCTTCAGTACAAATTTTTTTTATTTGTTTAATATTAGAATCTGTACTTGTGAAAAAATATTGTAGCGAATATTCTACTGCAATATTCAGGTAATATTTGAGCAAAAAAGACTTTTTACGGTTTTGCAACATGGGAAACATTTATGTTATTTCAATTATTCGTGGCTCTAAGTTTATTTGATGTTTGCACAAAAAGTTTACAGCAAAAGTTTCTAAAATATATCGTGCCACCATGCAAAAAGGTTTATTGAATTTGTCTTAAATTTCAATGAAAGTTTCCCTTTAACAAGAACTATATGTCAAAATTTCTTAACGACAGACACCGTAATTAGTAGTTAAAATAGTGTAAACATACCCCAGCCAATCACAAGACAAAGCCTTAATTTGATATTGTCTCCAGTAAATGTTTGAACTACTAACAGGTACAGGTACAATCCTGCAAAATCATGTTTAAAAACAACAATTATTTCAAGCTTGATGTAAGGTACCTTTTACATAAAATAAACTTCAAGTAGATATTTTTAAAAAATTACAAAAATGAAGAAAAGATTCTTCATCTGAAATAATTTATAGCATCTATTAGAAATAAAAATTTTGTAATATTTTTTGATAAAGCGTTTACGATTAGAGAAAAATTGGTTTATAAAAATCTAAAGATCGTCTTCAACGTTAATTTGATAGATGAGCTCATAAGGTACCCTAATGAAAATAACGACTCGATATACTCACCTTCCACAAACATCCAGAAAAAATTGGTCAGTTGAAAATAATGAAGAAGAGAGAAGAAAGCAATACAGGTGGAAACATCCGTTTGCACTGAGATCTGAAATCAAATTAACAACATGTTTTGGTAATCTTCTAATTTTTTTTCTCAATATTTTTTCAACGTCGACTAAAAATGTAATTTGTTTTTGTAATTCTGTAATTAGTCTGGATCTTTTGAAATAAATGAAATAGTATATTTCTTATTCGGATAGTTTGCTTTTTAATAGACTTTTAATCTTTAATGAAAATACACTATAAACCGAATGCAAATTTAAAATTTTCCATTTAAATTCGATTGAGATCTAATTGTGGGTCTAGTAAAAAAGCGTTAAAGCAAGCTAAAGTGGGATATAAATATTGCGGGAAAAAAGTAAAAGAATGGCAGGATTTATTTTCAAAGTTTTGATTACATTCGACTAATCCTTTATCGACCCAGTAAAATTGGAGGTAAGCAATAAGCAACACTATATTCAATTCTGTAAGTTGTTTGGGTCGCTGAGTATAGGAATTATTTGACATCTCTACACTTTGACATCTGACAAAAGCACTCTTCAATTGAATATATGTTTTATCTGAAAAGATTTAAAATCACAAGTTTCCAGTGCCTGAAAAGAGAAAAGTATCCCATTACAACTGACGATCAAAAAAAGTTGAAATTTATATTCAAAGTTTTTAAATTAAATAGCCACCATTCTCTTTCTTTTAAGGATGTGGTAATTTTCTCATCAAAATTTTTAAAAAGAATTTCAACTTCTAATAGCTTCATAAAAAGAAACGACTAAACTAAAATGCAAAAATTAAAGAGACTGAATTGTTATAATTCACCTCGCAACGTGAATTTTTACTTACAATTAATTGGGATTAATATGTTTGAAGTAAGAAAAAATATAGCATAGTAAAAGTAGGATAATAAAAGAGATGCAACTATTCTAGAGCAGAGGCTAATTAAGCGCACGACCATTCGGAGGATTTAATGTATACTTTGATTTCAATCGAATCTTCACAAGGATTTCTGTGTAAAGAATCCGTGCGGAAATCCAGGCGAATATTTTTATACCATTCTGCTGACTATCCTTACAAATTCATCTTCTTTTTTTTTGTTTCTTCTTCCAGTCAGTCATTATAATAAATTGATTACATGCACTCATAAATTTGAATTCTTATATCATATGAACCATTCAACCAGGTATCCACTGATCTAAAATTCTTTAACTACACTACTAAGGAGTGATACAAGACTCTTCCTAACTCAACTTCATATATTTACATCATTCCGTATTAAAATTCCCAATTCTATTTTCTTTCAAATTTCATTATAGTTCCCAAATTTACTCTTATCCCCTCAACATATGAAGTGGTACGGAACACTTTTGAATTACACCACATAAATTATCCTGACCTTGATTAGTCTTGCATTTATTTCTTCATTATCAATACCTCCCCTAGTAAAAGATCCGCACTAATATGGAGTTAGTCCAAAACAGTCCGGTTTATTGCCATCCGGAAATTAGTCACTTCGATCAATCGTAACTATAGTGAATGCAGATTTTAGATTTACTGATTACACGGCCTGGATTAATTTCGGATTTAATAGAAGTAATTTTGCATTTATTAGTTGTGAATGATTCGATTAATATCGGATGAGACCTGATTTACTAGTCACATAAATAATACTAATTTCAGACTTAACCGGACTAATTCCAGATATCAGAAACCTGACTCTAAAGCGGACTATGCTTCGGATTAATTCCACATTCCAAAATATTAGCCAAAGTAATGACTATTGGTCAGAAGGGATTAGCTTGATACTACAGAAATAATAAATTTCCAAAATATAATCCCACTTTAACGAATACTGTATAAAGTAGTGAAGGTTGAATAAAAATTTACCTGCAGTACAGTTGTTAAGATCCACGTAAAATCTGCTAATATGTATGTCAACATCAGATGAGTATGAATATTGTTCCTAAGACACCTAAGTTCTCTGAAAAATAATAATTCATCAATTTAAAATCAATTTCATTATATTCATAAATATAAAGAATGCTGATTGGCCTAACTTCGTTTGTCGCGTAACCGTTATATCTGTCCTTATTCTTATTTGGCATAATTTGTATTTAACCTAATTCTCACAGTTTGCCTAATCGTTATTAGGCTAATTCTCATTTACTCTAATCATCACCTGACAATTGATTATGTCAAATAAGAATAAGGTTAATTAAACGTTAGGTTTCATGAGGATTAGATCCGATAAAAATAATCCACATAAGAAATAAAATAAGTTAAAATTAGCATAAATAAGTCCAACAAAGATATATTTTGAACGTATTCATGATGTCAGGATATTTCTTTGTTGTAGGAATTTATAAAAATAGAAAATAAAGAGTTGGAAAATCTAAAAATCGTTTAGTAATTCAAAACTGTGGATTTGAGGAGAATTAAAGATATAGGTAAAAATAAAATGTGAGTCCAGTACTATGTGGCACGTAAATTGGTTTAATTGCAATACGTTTTTGTGAATGTTAAAAAAGAACGTAATCCACTGGCGGCAATAATTTTACTCGCTGTCGGTATCTCATCGTTTCCAATTTGTGCAGTAACATATTGTCATTCGTATTGGACTCACATTTTATGCTTAAGGCTAAAAATTGAACTAGTGAAGGTAACTTGTTTTTTATGTTGAATAAAATGTATAAAAATGTATTGTTTGAGTTAAGAATAATTTTTATTTGAATAAGAAATATTCCTGATCTGCTTTATATTTTTGATATTAATTATATCTATGAAAATAAAAGTAAATTTAAATTTTTGAAAAACAAATGTTTAATATACTTACTTGTAGTATAAAAATATAGATACAGCAACAATCAGAGAAATTAGTGAGAGACTATAGCCAATAATGTAAATCATAGTCGTAATTTCCACTCCGGATTCCACTGGGGGGACTCGAACATCGTGGCACTGGGAATAATTTGAATAGCTGTCCCAAGTACCATTTGGCCAACACCATCTACTTGCATTCTCTAAAAATTAAAAAAACAATACTGCTTAGATTATGCGGAAATTAAAATGATGTTTTAGTTAAACTAGGATGCGTCATCTGGTAGTTAAATGGAAATGGAACTAATTGTTTCAATTTGGTATCAAAGCATTATTTTCATTGTCTTGAAAAGATGATAAAAACAAATGTCTTATGTAAAATAAAAAATTCTCATCTAAATATTGACCTATTTAATTTCACATTACTTTTTAATCTCAATTTATTATCTATTGTTGCTACAGTCACTTGATGATTTAAATGCTATTAACTTCATGCTAATTGAAGTTAATATAGTTTGAAAATTTTGCAATATTATACTTTGAATGAAAGTGCATGTAACTTTGCTAATTGAATTCAATGTTATACAACTGCTTTTGATTCAACGAGAAATATCATGCTTCTATTTCGTGTTGTTAACGAAGAGAATTCATATGTTTAAAATATTGTCTCTGAGCAAAGATACAAAATTGTTTAGAAAAGTAAGTAGTATTTAAATAAAAGTGAAATATAAATTATAAAAAAAAACGTTATTCAGGGAAAATAATAATAAATTCGATGATAATAAAAAATAAAATTTTGTGCATCACTAACATTTTTTTAAACTAACAAAATTAACATGAAATTTTTTAAACAGATGCATTCTCATATATTTTTCACATAGTAAACAGTAATTTTATTATGATTAATTTGGTTCTGTATTCAGCTGATTTCATTCAATATTTACATAAAGAGATTAGTTTCAAACATTCTTTCCAATGATATACATTTTTAAAGTGAGATTCATTTCAGTCATAAAGTTATATTATTTTTTTATTCTAATATTCAAACCTTGGATAATGTATAGTTCTAATTTAAATATGCAAGTGAAATTATAATTTTTATTGAGAAAAATATCACAGACTTTTGTTTATAAAGAAGTTTGTGTTTGTTGAAATAAAGAATGTTTGGGGTGAAGATAAATTAATAATTATAATAATTAGGAACGTCTTTATATTAGGCCTTTATGGTAATTAATTAATTATAATACAAATATGATCCGTCATTTATAATATTGTTGATTAATTTTTACGAGGCCTTTAAAAGGAAAACGTGTTTAAAATTTTTTAAAAAAATTTATTATTTAAGGACAACATGTTTCGACTGCATATACTGTCCTGTTCAGGTCCAGTAGCTTTTTTCATAAAAATTAGTAATTGATAAAGACGAAGATAAATAAAAACATTTTTCTGTAATACGAATTATTAATTATTTAATTAATTTAATAGTTGAAAAATGATAAGTGCGTAAAAAGGGTTTACCATGATATATACGAGCAATGATTAGGAATTTGTAAAAAAAGATGGGAAATTTTGAAGTTAGGATGAGAAAGCATCGAATGGAAGAGTCAGGTGTGAATGAGTGACAAGAAGAGTGAAGGCGTCTGGCAAAGTAGAATTCTGAAATATAAGGGTAAAAAAAAGAATACAGATGATTGAGTAAAGCAAGTGCGGAGAAGTTCCAAAGTTTGAATAGGAGGAGGAGAGGATTGAAAGATAAGACGATGATTGCTGTGATATGAAAGTACAATTGTGAATTTGTCAGAGGCAAGTGAAATCGTGTTTTCGTAATTTTTAAATTTGTACTAGATAGTGTGAAGTTAATCATCAATTATTCGTTCATCAATGAATGAATATAAAACAATATAAAATATCAGAAACTGAATTTAGACAATTGTGCCTAAAAGCGGATAATTTCAATAATTTTCGTATCTGTTTATCGATGCTAACAAAAACGGAATGCCTACGGAAATTATTATTAAAATTCCGACGGACTCCAGTGATTTCTTTTGTGGAACCACTTCAAGTAGGAAACAAAGAAGAAGAATAAAAATGATACTAAAATAGTTGTAAACTAAAAAAGAAAGCCGGGTTGAGAAAAGAGGACTCAGGAAACTCGGAATTCATAGAGGAGAGTAGATTTTATGAAGAAAAAGACAAGGGAAGATTGCGATTAGATGAAGGAAGCAGTAGATTGGAAAGAGAGAAAGGAGGAATTAAAATATAATTGTCAAGGAAGGTTAAAAGGTTAAAAGAATGTTAAAAGAAGTAGAAATAGAAGAGTAAGAGGAACCAGCTGTGAGTGGTAAAACTAGGAAATGACGAAGAAAAGTGTAAAGTAATGAGGTTAAAGTAGCTGTTGAAAGATGGTTCGTAGACGATCGATGATGGTAAAACATAGAGGAAGAGAAAATTTTAAACTTTGTATTAAAAAGACCAATCTTACAAATTTCTAAATAAATAAAACCGAAAAAATAGTTACTGTTTGTTAAATAATTCCAACTATATAAAGTTATTAGTCCTGCTAATAATTGATTAAAAACACCTTTTTCCCATTTCAAACAAATTATTATTACAAAGAAATACTTTCAAACATTCATAGAAAATAATATTCGAATTAGTCAATACATTTCCTGATATAAGCCGAAAGACCTGAGGTAGATCTATCAGTGTCTTCAGCAAACATTACGTAAAAGATGTTCGAATTTTCCGCTCATTTATAATCTAACCCCAAGGATCGATTGGAAATGAATGACTGTTTGTTGAATTTATTGACCAGAATTTAACATAATTCACCTATAGTTCTTAATTTAATTTTATAATCATTAAATGTTATTTGGATATCATTTTTATTCTATGAATGGAAAACCTGTTGCCGCATATACAAAATTAGTCAAAACACCTGTTGCTTGATCCCAAATATCAACTTTGAAAATTAGTAGAAGTTCTATTTGGTGGAATTTGGTTTTGTTGTTAATGATATTCGAAGAGGTTAAAATATTTCAAAGGGAAGTATCAATTTTTATTTATCACATTGTCGTGTGATTCTGGCATTCAAAGATAAAATAATATTGTTAATTATCATTATTTATTTTATTTAGTATACACTATTGTGACACTCTGCTCCTAATATAAGGACGGTGATAAATGATTCTAACTTTCACACTGATATTCTAGAAATTAATTGATTCGAGGTAAATATCGTTTATCATTTTTACTTCCATTTACGATAATTTTGATATATATTTTGATGAGATGATATATGTGATTTTGACTTGTTCAATTATCGTCATGTTAAAGAATTGTGCCTCCATTATCCGTTCTTCTATCTCTATATAAATTTATGAAATTAAACATCCCCATTAGGTAATTTCGACCCATAAAATGTCCCCGTTAAATAATATGTGACCCCTTTACATAAACTTTGACACCAAAATATTGTAGTAAATAATTTTATAACTTTATTCTCTTTATTAGCTAACCCCTAAACTTTATTTGTTAAAATTTTATTTATGTCCTTATAATGTTAATGTAAATTAATTTGGTTGCTGTTAAGTTCGTTTTTTAAGTAATTTTAATTCCTGGAGTTCAACTCATTTTATGAGTATTTTGCCACTTGCAATATTGGATAATTTTTGTTGTTGTGTTCATTTATTTATAAATATTAAAGTTTTATTTTTGGTTTAGGAAACAGGTGCTGTGAATTTAGTATTATTTACTTTTTTTCAAATTATTGCACCAGATTTGTTGCGAAGAAAATTATTATTACTTATTGCAAAAAGAAATACTATGTAAAGGTTTGAAAATATTAAGTATTAATAGGATACAGACTTCTATCAAGAAATTATTTATTCCACTCTTCAGCTTTTGATGAGATAATTAAAAAAAATAATTTCGAGCTTGAATGTATTTTTAGTAAAATTGTAATTTATTTTATGGATACGAAAGGAAAGGAATCGGTATTATAGTAAATTGAGCGTGCGGTCCGAAGTTTCAGAAAGCACTTCCTTTTTCTTTTACTTCACTTCGCATCATTATACACGATCGTTCATCTACGCTCGACCAGATATCGCTAGAGGGATGTGAACATCGTTTTATTTTCTTTTCCGACATTTCTCATCAGGAATGCAAGATATCGATTAAAGTTACGCCCTGTTGGAATACCAATGCTTGAAGGATGGTTTTGAAAATGAACCAACTTATAAATAACATAAATGCCTCAAGTATGTATTAATTTATTCTCTTCACATGCAAAATGCAATTGATATTTATCATCGTGTGTGAGTTTCGAAATCCGTATGGTGCTAACAGCAGTAGTAACATTAATAAATGCAAACGTTTTTTTTCAATTGCAATATTGTACTAATTTTATTTCATGGGGAAAAATAAAAGTATTTCTGCAAACTTTTTTTCAATTATTCATCTGGCTATAGGATGTAAATGAAAAAAATTATGAGTTCACGAAATGAAGGGAAATGATATTCCTTCATCTCAAAAGAAAGTTTCTTTGACTCAAAGGGAATTTCTTTAAATCGTAGACAATTTTTTGAACGAATAAAATTTATTTATTATTAATAACAAGTTGAGAGCTATTTTACACATTTAAAGTTAATATTAAAAATATTTTAATGTTGATCATGGATTTAAATTTAACGTTTCTAAAAACTTTTCATTAAATAGTTTGTTTTATAATTATCCTGCAAAGGGATTTATTTATAAATATTTATGTCAAAGATTTATTTTGTCCGCATCGGTGATTCAGTGATACTTCCTGTTTCATTTACAGAGCAGAAGGCTCTGAGCTAAGAGTAGAGGAAAGAAAGAGAAATAAAATTTTAATAAATAAATAAATTATATTTATTGAACATACATTAAATCGTATTTTCCTAGAAATATTGACCTCTAGGTTTAGATCCCTTTTTAAATAATTGAGTTTAATTAAAAATTACATTTGATTTGTTAAATTCTGAATAAGAGAGAATTGGTGATTAGTCCTTGTAACCTGAAGATGAAAACATTCCACTGAAACAAGAATAAAATTTAAACACCAAAAAAAGAATTTAGGGAAATAGAAATGTTCATAAATATTTTAAATAGCTCTTACATTATTTGTTTATATTAAATTCTTACATACAATTTAAATCTTGAGGTAAGGCAGTCGGGTAAC